ATAATTCTACAAATCAAGGAGGGGGTCCGACCCCCACCCCCGAACTGCATATGCTCTTCTTTTTCCCCTAAGCGGGGGACACAAATTCTCTGAATTAGCTTGTTATACCTCAATTTAGACTGAGCTACTTGCTCAAAACACTATTCGTGGGAGAAGTCAGATAACTTCTGAGAACATAACAAAGAGAACTTATTTACATAAACTTTGGGACGGTGTAATAACTTTGGGTCTCAAATTAGCTCACTAAATACCGGTATATATCTATAGTTGTCACATAATTATTCTCAACTACTGGCTCACCTTAAATGTAAGATAGGGAGGAAAAGACTTGTCTCAGTCACGTCTAATTCCTATCTTACCTTAACCTAAGTTTTCCTTAACAGCCTTACTCTATAACCTACTTTCATACTTAACTTGCTACACTGAACAAACAGTGCTTTTATACTTTCCTGATTGGCATATTCGATCTAATTGGCTATAGACAAATGAATTCTTCTCACTACCAGAGACTCAAGATTTCCTAATCATTGACTAGAATTATCTCTGATCATCACATTACCCACCCCTCGTTCCTCATGTGTCCCACGTAATTTTTTGGTTGATTTAAAAAAAGGGTTCTGAAAAAGGAAATATGTATAGCTACAATCATATAGCTAACATTGTTATCTAATATTCCTCACAGAAAAATGCTTCTTCTATAGAAAAATACAATGTCTCGTTTGAGCTCAACTTTCAATCTCAGTGGAATTATTTAATGCTCATTCTTCCCCTAAACAAAAATTTACTATAGTTAATTATAGTTTACTATAGTGAACTATAGTAAATACTTTGGTACCTTGATTTACTATGAAATTTTACTGTAGAGTTTTTTTGAGATTTCAATGAAAATCAATGATGTAAAATTTATAAATAATATGTTAATATATGAGTAAAAGATCCATTTAATATAAAAATGTGCATATATGAATTATAGAACATGAAATATAACAATCTGAAATCCATAGTAAAAGTACTTTGATTCACTCTAGTGAAAACTTTGATTTACTATAGTCAAAACCTTGATACTACAGTAAACTATAGTTAACTATAGTTTATTTTTGGGTCGAAAACCTCAGTCAATCCAACTCTCTCCATGTCGTTCTGTCATCTCTACTGAGGACCCTTGGGCTTCCTTGTCTACCACCCCATATGTTCTTTGGGAGTTTCATTCTTTTTCTTCGCAATCAAAGTCTTCTGAAGTAGATTTACTACTACCAGAGTCTTCCGACACTGTTCAAGTACCACTTGGATTCAATATTCTGTCATCATCTTAGCATGCTTTGACACTGTTTCCTGAACATGCCTCTTTCTGTGCCTTATCATATTAATATTCTTGTTCGATGAATAATTTCCTAATTCACATCGAAATCTCTTTTCCACCTATTTCAGCCCACATTCCACAATGTGTCTCTTCAGCTCTTCTAAGTCCAGTGTCTTATATGGGCACATTGGACACCTGATCTTGTCTATGAGTTGTGTTTGTTTTCGGTATGTTGATCCTACAATAAGAGATATTGTATTGCTTTAAAATCAGTTTTCCGACTGTTCTGACGTAAGTAAAGCATTTCTGAATTCCCAGCTATGTATTCATTCCACCAGTACGGATGACATTTAGTTCGGCCATAGAGTTTTGGGACTGAGATGTTTTCAGAATCATTTATTGATTCATTATTAATCTTCTTCCTCAATTTATCTTCTTGTCTCTACTTCCCTTTACCTTCTAGTCATTTTCATTTTGTGAATATCTTTATCATTTTTCTGAAAATCACTGAGTGTGTTTAATTTAGTAATGTAGTTGATCCATACGTTGCGGAATCGAATCCCACTGTGGGACTTGGAGACCAGTCCTTCAGATGAGACCGTATAAACCGAGGTCCCGTGTCGCAGTAGGTGTTGGCACGAAAAAGACCCCTCACTGCTCAATGGCCGTAAGTGCCGAGCATAGGACAAAATTTGCTGCTCTCCGAGTGAAAAATTCTTGAGAGGGACGTTAAACAACATACAAACAAACAAACAACTAACAACATGTACCATTTCTGAAATTTAAATTAAAAAATTTTTTTTCCCTACCTACCGACCTAAACGTATAATGACCCAAACCAACAATATTTTAATTGTGGCCTCATAAACGGAAAGAAATGTGGATTTCAGGTTAGAGTGTCTTACTGAATTACGCCGGTGCAAACAACGATTTTTTTGCACTTAGATTGAATTTTTATATTAATCATTCTAAATCCCATTCATATTTTAGCAGATGAATTTGATTTTATCTTGTACAAAATAGTTTTAAATGAAATACATGTATATATCACTTACAAAAAATCCCAATTAATCCGCGTAAATTATTGTGTGTTCTTTTTGCAGCAATAAAATGCTATATTTGTGGCATTTTAAATCTGTACAGATAATAAAGTAGTTTCTAGTACCTTTACAAATTCAGTGTTAATTGGTAGGACGTAGAGTGTACATGTAATTAAAAAATTAAATAAAATATATTAAGAGTCAAGCAAATTTTGAAATGTTGGGCTAAAGTATGCAAAATTTAGACTTAAAACAGGGTTAATTTTATCTTTTTCAATTTAACTGCAATTTTTTGGCGGTTAGTTGAAAGAAAATATATAATTAATTTTTAGAATATCATTTAAAATCTACATCAAAAAATCCTAGTATATATTTACGTAAAACTTTCTATGAATAATATTGTAGATTTTTTTTAAATTTTCTTCTAAATAAATATCCTTCCATATATAAAAAGTCCTTCATAAATCGTGTTGGTAGTGGATTTTGCGAGCGCTTATTTATTGAATGTCGTACACTTTTCATCAGGTAAGTCAAACATTTGTAAAGGTTTACCTATAGCTCTTTATATGAAATGCTCTCACGGAGATTTATCTGTGTGGAGAGTGTAGAGCATAGAGCAAAATGAGGAATTTAAAAGAGAAGTTGAAAGTCATGGGGAATGTCCAGGTCAGAAAAATATAACACGGTAGAACTTTAAACTTTAGTTTAGTTTTAGTTGAAATGCGAATGTACTATTGGACGGTGCAGTCATGGTCGATATCAGTCATGTCATTCTCCAGTATGTCAGTTTGCTTTGTCAGGTTACTCATTGCTTGACTGAGTAAAGTGTACAATGTGTACACCGAAATTATCACGGCACTCACAGTTGAGGTTTTTTTTAAGGAAAAAAAAAGGCTCTGAGAAGATTTATATAGTAATCCATAACAGTAGCATAATATTAACTCTTTGTCGCTAAGGTAGCTTTGACGAGTTCAGCCATAACCCTCCCCCCTCCTCCTCACCCGAGGTTTTTTGAGAAAAGATGCAAGATATCAAAGGATTGATATAAATACCTTCCGAATCTCTTGATTCCAACGGGAAAAATCGTTTTTAGCTCACCTGAGCTGAAAGTTCAAGTGAGCTTTTCTGATCACATTTTGTCCGGCGTCCGTCTGTCCGTCCGTCTGTCTGTCTGTAAACTTTTCACATTTTCGACTTCTTCTCAAGAATCACTGGGCCAATTTCAACCAAACTTGCCACAAAGTATCCTTGGGTGAAGGGGATTCAAGTTTGTTCAAATGAAGGGCCATGCCCTCTTTCAAGGGGAGATAATTAGGAATTAGTGAAAAAATAATGGCATCATTTAAAAATCTTCTTCTCAAGAACCATAGGGCCAGGAAAGATGAAACTCATGTGGAAGCATCCTCAGGTAGTGTACATTTAAGTTTGTTCAAATCATGACCCCTGGGGGTAGGGCGGGGCCACAATGGAGGATCAAAGTTTTACATAGAAATATATAAGAAAAATCTTTAAAAATCTTCTTCTCAAGAACGGCAAAGCCATGATGAGTCATATTTACATGGAAGCATCCTCAGGTAGTGTAGATTCAAGTTTGTTCAAATCATGATCCCCGAGGGTAGGGCGGGGCCACAATGGAGGATCAAAGTTTTACATAGAAATATATAGGAAAAATCTTTAAAAATCTTCTTCTCAAGAACAGCAAAGCCATGATGAGTCATATTTATATGGAAGCATCCTCAGTTAGTGTAGATTCAAGTTTGTTCAAATCATGATTCCCGGGGGTAGGACGGGGCCACAATGGAGGATCAAAGTTTTACATAGAAATATATAGGAAAAATCTTTAAAAATCTTCTTCTCGAGACCAGCAAAGCCATGATGAGTCATATTTATATGGAAGCATCCTCAGGTAGTGTAGATTCAAGTTTGTTCAAACCATGACCCCCGCGGCTAGGGCGGGGCCACAATGGAGGATCAAAGTTTTACATAGAAATATAAAGGAAAATATCTTCTGAAGAAGAACTGCAAACCATGATTAGTCATTTTGATATGGAAGCATCCTCAGGTAGTGTAGATTCAATTTTGTTCAATTGATGACCCCCAGGGGTAGGGTGGGGCCCAATGGGGGATGGAAAGTTTTACATAAGAACATATAGATAAAATATTTCTTCTCAAGAACAGAAAAGCTATGTTTAGTCATATTGATATGGAAGCATCCTCAGGTAGTGTAGATTCAAGTTTGTTCAAATGATGACCCCAGGGATAGGGAGGAGCCACAATGAGGGATCAAATTTTTACAAAGGAATATATGGGATTTTTTTTTTAAATCTTCTCAAGTACAACAAAGCCATTTGTTATATTGACATGGAAGCATCATCAGGTAGTTTAAAATTCAAGCCAATGTGCTCAGGTGAGCGATGTGGCCCATGGGCCTCTTGTTATATTTGATGAAATACATGAAATACACTGCATTACAACAACCTATATACACACCAACTACACTAGTGTAGTTACACTTGCTGAGAAGTCGTAAGAAATTCATAGTAAGTATATATAAAAATTATGATTATATCACGTTTTGGTCATCTACAATTCCTATCAATTCAAGTATTGATTTTATTGGGTCATATTGTTCAAGCATTGATTTAAATCGAACCCAATAACAAGATAAATGTACATGGTTCGGGTCGTGTTTGCTTTGGATCCACAATTTGGGATTTAAGTTGTTCTAAAATTCAGCGATGATATCTTGTTTCCATATTACAAAGCTTTGATTTAATTCAGTTAATCGATAAGTATCTGAATATACATTCGATTTGTCACCTAGATGAGTTGAACAATTGATAAAGTATAGTTTTTGGTGCATTAAATTACGTGTGGAAAATACTTCCATCGATCCCTTTTTGAACAGGTAAGTAAAATCCCTTACTTCTGCGTCCATTATAATGCATTTTTCCGTTGAAGCGTTTTAAACAGCTTTTACTTTCGGAGTGAATGCATTCATTAACTAACAGCCATTTAACTCAATCATTTTAGAATTCAAACTATGGTCTCAAACTCTGGATAAAGTGAACACCGTGATGCCCCCCGCTTGGTCGGAGTATATCACCAATGTCTTAACTGAAAGTGGATACGTATCTCGGGCTGCTGTTGTGGGCGCTGATGGGCGTCGTTGGGCAACATCGGCCACTTTAGAACTGTCTTCTGCGGAGATCCAAGCTATCGCGCGGGGATTTGTAGAACCTGCCAGTCTCCGATTGGATGGGATATTTCTGTGTGGTAAGCCTTACACGTGCACGCGGATGGACAGTGTGGTGATGGTGGGGCGTGAAAGCGCCGCTGGGTCGGGGTGTATCGTGTATCGATGTAGGAACGCTTTAGTGATAGGTGTGTATGAGGATGGTGTTCATCCTGGAGGGTGTTATAACATGATATGTAAAGTGGGCGACTACCTCAGAGAGCAAGGAATCTAAATTTTAAGAAAAATATCGTGTTCTTCGTCAAACATTGGGATTTAAGTGGAATCTTCGAAGATTCGGAGAGATCGACCCCTTTTCCTTGCCACAAACTAAAAAATGGATACTTAGAAGAAGACCATGGAAATTCGATAAAGTAACAAAGTTTACATATGTAGTTTTAATTGGTTTAATGGTTCGACTGTGTTTGTGTAACAGCGTGAGAAAGTTATCTTAAACCACAAAAGAATCCACAGACAATGAAATGCCGCCTTAAACGCTCTTTAGAAATGTCTTAAATTGGATTACAATGATTTTTTTTAAAAGTCGATTTACGTTGTTCCAGCGAATACAGGGTATTACGGATTTGTTATTTTTGAATGTAATAAATAAGCTTATATGTTTCTGGATCAGCCTGTCGTCTGATAAATAAAGTCGATTTTACCTCATAACAGATGGCTGAGTTTTGATTTGAAATTGAATTCTTCAGACGAGTGTCACTGAAACATTCTAAAAGTTATGGAATGATTAGTCAGGCCCGTAGGAAGCTATTTCAGTTGGGGGGGGGGGGGGCACGGACATACATTTTCAGTTGAGGGGGCACTATCACACTATCAACTACCAAAAATTTCTTGACAAGCAAAAAAAAGGTCATCAGACGTTTTTATTGAGGGGGCACAAGCATATAGTATATGTCATCTATAGTAATCTATATATCGGCAAAATTAGGGGGGGGGCACGCCCCCCCCCCCCCCGGTTCCTACGGCCATGTTAGTGCTACAGAGAATCATGTTTAGTTAACCAGCTGCAAGCAAACTGAGCACGCAAAATATCTTTGGTAATTGAAAACATCTAGCTGGAGAAGGTCTTGTTTACTAACCGATCAAAGGCATCCATGTTTTATACCCATTTATCTCAAAATTTAAAGATCTTTTTGACTCTTTTACTTTCCTCTCTCACCGCTGATGGTAGGAAATTTTACTTCTATATGTGTGTTCAATTAAATAAAAACTTTATTACCCCAATATATTGAATGAAAAGTTAATGGGATGAGGTATTAACTAAGTCGGTGAGGTTTTCTTTTCTTTTCTTTTTTCAATTATCAGAGATTTAATTTGGGTGAATTGGGATAGTGATAAATAATTTTAAGTTGTCTTTCAAGCTTCTAATATTCACTTTTAGGATAAATTACTTTTCACTAAATGCATTTAAAAAAAGATTGTGACGTACGTAAACCTTTTGTTTGTGTTGTCCATTCTATGGCTTACAGTTGTGTTTTAACACCTATAACAATTCATAAAGATGCTTATAAGTGTCCATTCTTTTTGGAAATAAAGTGCAAATACGCCCGTCAAACATCGTCCAATTATCATAAACAGATTTTAGGGCAAGGAAGAAAATCAAGTTAACATTGATACGAAGATTTCAATGATTACAATGATTTTCCATGCTAATGTTTGATGTGTTTCTGCTATGGTGAAGTAATTAATTAGAACAAATAATACGAGTTGTACATCAAATATTTCTTGACTGGTTGAGTTAGAGTACAATTGCCCTACTGCAGTTTTTTGTAAATTGCATTTTTTAGAATAATGAACAATGCGCACTACAGCCTTATAAAACATCAAAACACTAATCATTGATTTTATTCTTAAACTGTAAAACTTCCATTTTAGTGAGACAAGACACTCTGTAATTTGTTGTGGAGATATAAAAATTAAAATAAAAAATGTTATATTGAACAATATCAAATTAATTTTAATACCTTTATACCAAATAATTACTTTTGAAAGTAATGGCTAGCCAATATTGACTAAGAACTATTTCAATATGAAAGTTTCTATCAATTGCAATTAAGAGGCCAGATTCTTCTGCCCAGTTCCCAGGAGACAAAGATAACACCTGTTGATCAGAGATGTTCAACTAGAACCTCCTTACACTAAATCTTAAATTTGACAGAAGCAACTTTATACCCATGGTACAAGTGGAATTTCTCTTGTTATTGACAAATTCTGCTATGCATTTCTAATTGAAAATTGATCAACAAATATATTTTAGGATAAAAAAAAACTATAGGCATCCAGGTATTCAGAGAAAAATTCATGTTTTTTATATGCTTATATGATGTTTTAGTTCTCGTTTACTTCGATTGATAAAAAAATACATAATGTAAAAAGGCTGAGCTTTCATTGCAAGACATCACATGTCACTTCAATTTCATGCTAATAAGCATTGGTATCTTATGCTAGATTAAAGGGAATTCGATTTCTCTAAAAAAAAATTTAGTTATGTACTTTTATGGGGTACAAATGTCAACTTTTCACAAGGCCGTTTCTAAAACTTCAAAGAACCTTGAATCATATTGAAATGTATAAAATGAAAATTGTTGCACAAAAATACATGTATTTGAATTTCAAGCTTTGAGACTTTTTTTTAAATTAAATAATAAATTTGAAAGTTATTTTTCCTGGTAGAGGAGCAAGTATCCTTAAATTTCCGTTTTCATGGTAACTGTATATTATATTGTTTCAAACTAGTGTCATGAGCTCATAATTATATTTTTTTTTTAATAAAAGCTTATTAAAAACCGTGTGCATGCTAGATTTCACAGATTTACCTCTTAAATGTCAAAACAAGCCGTATATCGGCTCTATAAATTAGTTTGTCAAGAAGGTCAAAGATCAAATTTAAAGGTCATGAGGTGGGTAACCCTGATATTTTAGAAAAGCTCTAGAAATTTCTGAAGGGGGGGGAGGGATTATTAAATCTGCATTTTTATCTTTCATGAAGACTGCCTTGAATCAATTGTGCAATACTGTAAACGTACTTGACCACGGGGTCGTAACTCCCCGAAATTTAATCTGCTTGTAAGAAATTAAATGAATTTATGCTTAGTAAATGATAAGTACGCTGTTAACCGCTTACTTTTACCGTAAATACCACGTGCGTCTACAGTAATTTAACTGAAAACTTTGGACAGTGTGTGTTTCTCCTTTATTAAGCACATTTCAAGAAATATCTCCATGCAATATCAAGATACATACATACAATATCACAGTACTTAAGGGCACGGACGTCATTATTTGTAGTAGAAGTAATCAACTCGAAATACATCAAGTGACTAACAAACTGAGGACTCTGACCTTGAAAGCAACAAGAAATGCATGCAGATGTCAAAATTATTTTTATTATCTGTCATAAGTGGATCTTACATATAACAGCAAACATTATAGATGACATAATCAGATATATATATAACAAAGGATTCAGATTTCAATCACAAAATATGTTGATTGGATACAATTAAATGAACATACTAGGCTCTTACATATCAAACAAGTCAGCTTTGTATTTTCAATGTTATATTCAAATGATATTCACTTTTTCCCAAATGACACCCCCTTCCCCCTTTAGAAAAAAAAAATTCAAAAATCAGGTGTATGATTCAAGCATTTCAATTTCAGTGATATTAAACAAAATGCTATTTTTGCTCAATTAATGTAATTTTTCAAAGTTTTTAATACAATAGGACAAGAAAATAACCATATTTATCTAATTCTAATACTTCTTTTTTCTATATCACATGTGTTTAATTTTTTCCCAAGTGTGTTTTAACTCTACAATTACATGTACATGTATATTGAAAATAAATTACCAATATAGTTTAAAAATCAAAAACAGAGATTAAAAGTTTTGAAGTAGTCTACTTTTGTACAATTTTTTCAATCAGGCAAAAAGGAGGAGTGGCATTTTAGCTAAAAAGGATAATCCAAATTTTGGATACTATTTCAACACAATCAAAAATAAAAATTAGTTGACAGTTTTTTTTAAAACTTTGATTTAGTCTTAATTCAAATTAGAAACAAACAATTTGTTAAGTAGTATTATAATTATATTTTTAGTAATAAAGGCAAATCTGACAAAACCAATAAAAAAAAAAAATACAGAATTATACAAAGATGTACATGTATCCTACACATTTCAGAAAAAGGAGAAGAAACCCCCTTACTTCCACACCTCTCTTCTATAATCAGTACAGCAAAAAAGGGGCAACAAAACTAATAATATTTCCTGTATTAAATGTTCAGGATTTTACAATTTTTTTAAATTCTCTTTTGACCTACATACATGTACATGTGATTGACTTTCTTTTGTAGTACATATCCTATAGTACATAAACAAATGACTTAAAGATACAAGCAATGAAATAAAAATGTTTTCTTGTACATATTTAAACATAAAAAAGGGTTTAATAACTAAAAACAAAAAAATACAATTATCCTCTCATCTTACATCAAAATAAACCTTTCATGCATACATATTACAAAAAAAAAAAGAAGTCATACTTGATCATTCACGCAGTCCTATAAAAAGTGAGGATAATGAAGTAGAGGAGAAAAAACAGAAAATGTCTGCAAGCACTACCGCCATCTACATGTCATCATCCATTCAGCTCTTTGTGTTCACCAACTCTGTCATGGTGAGAAGGAAATCAGTGTACCTACGGCAACTTCTGCTGACGTTCCTTTTGACGGGGTCTCGTTCAGATCTGGGGGAGTGTAGAGTAAGCTTGGTCTCTGAAATCATATAATTTATACTTTTATTTCAAGCATTTAAGAGTAACGGCAGCTATAAAAACACAGCTCCATGTAAATTAAAGTTGAACTGCAGTATCTTGAACATCAGTATCCCTAACACCATGGATACATGAATGTGCAAGTCAGTTGGAAGTCCCTACCACTTTTTCTAATAAATGTATGTTTACTACAATATCTTGAATTCTTGGATATCTCTCATTTTTTCTCAGTCTTATCAACTTCTAGATAACGAGGTTTGAACTGTATTATGAACATGGACATGTATTATTTAAGAGGATATTCTCCCATTACTAGCATATAACAGCATACAAAGACAAACAAAATTCACACACTATTTGTGTACAGGGCACAATTTTTGAATCATGGAAACTGCTTCAGCGTGTACTATTTTACAACATGTATAAATTTACATTTTACAGTATAATATCTATATCATAGGAAAAAAAAATAGTAATTTTATCTTACATATACATGACAAATACAGGTACATGTACTATAAAAATGTAATGGAGGAAAAATAAGCATTCATTCTTGTATGAGATTTAGGATAGAAATATTTGGATCATATTCACAAGTTGGACTCATTAAGCCTTTCTCGGACAAGAAAAGTGATCCCATCTGGTGAAATTCATTTTCCTGTTCCTATATGGTAATTCATTTCTAACATCATACAAGTCAATAGCATTTACAAATTTTACTTTCATTTTACAACAAGAACTTTCTTATATAAATATGCAAGAAATCACAAAAGGTTGTAGTAATTACAAAGTCATTGTAAATAAGGAGACACTCACCGATCTTGTAGATCTTGTTACTGGAGTGAAGGCCACATTAAGATTGGAGAACTTTGATCCTGTGTCACTCTGACTGTCCGAGTCTGACTCTGAGTCATCAACTACAATGAACAATTACTGTAAGACATCTTCCATCAGTCAGAAAAAAATCCAGTCCCTGATACACTCTGTAGAGAAATGGTACATACCTAGTGATCTGTGAGGAGTGGGAGGGTGTCGGAGACTAGATTTGTCTTTCTCTGGTAGTGGACTACAAAATGACACACTTCTTCTGGCAGACCTTCTCCTCGTCTGTTTCAAAGTTGTCTTCAGAGCTTTCCCACCTGCAGGATAAAATAATTTATTTTCATACGAAAAACTTGAATCTGATTGGTCAAAAAATGTTTGACAAAAACCTCTGTGCATGGGGTTTGTGTTACTTTTCAACAGGTAATATTACTTGAAAAAAGGTTGAATTATGAAAACTGTCATATTCAAAAAATATGCTCTTACATCAGCTTATCAGTGTTTAGAAAGGCTTTATCCAAGTCTTTAAAACGTTCAATGTTTTATTGTTCCATGATGCAAATTTGTGAATGTGAACGATTAAACAGGCATAACAATCATTAAACACTTAGAATTCGGTAATTAAAATAAATTTTGCATATAATTGAAGGTAGCAGTTGAAACTGTCACTCCAAGAAAACCCTCGACACCCAAGATGTCACAGTTTCAATTGTTAGCCTCAATTACATACTTTATTTATCTTTAGTCATCTTAGACAATCAATTCAAAATTCACATAATTTATCAAAGAATTAAATATAGTTAAGGATTCCTGCCCCCATGATAAACAAATTTTGAAAATCTCCTGAAATAGGCATAATTGTAGGGATTGTACAAGGAATCAGAATGAAAAAAATATATTATGGATTGGAAACAAATACTAGTAATTGGCATTTTTCTCTCTGTGACAGTTTTTGAAAGAGGACAAAATGCACAAAATTTCCCCAATTTTGACTATAGTATTTATAGAGTGCAAACTTGCTCAGGAACTATATTCACACATTTCACTGATATTATCATTCTACACATTATATCAAAAGATCATGTCTGAGCAGATCTAGGTTCTATATTTTCCAATCAAAATATATGTGTAAAATACAATATATTCTTTCAAAATCAATGAACTTTTGAATTTGTGTCATTTTCTTGATGTCATATCTAACTTTTGATGTCAGAGTTGAATATATTGAAAATATTTAGCCCTTTGAAGTCTTTGAAGTCTGCAAAATATCACCCTGGTTTAGAACATAATTATGGATTTATCTATCGATGTTCAATTTTGGGGGGCAGCTATTGGCCATTACAGAATATCATCCTTTATTGGTGAACACTTGTAAATTGAATGGTTTCACTCTAGTGACTTACAAAAAATGAAATAAGAAGAGAAAACAGAAATAACTCTTGATTGCATTATATACCTGAGCTGAGACGAGATGTATCGGTTTCCTCCACACTGAAATAGCTGTCCATCACACTGACAGGACTCTCAGTCTCTTCTGGGATGGGTTGGGAGGGCTGTAGGTACTTAGAGAAGCTTTCATCAGCGGGAGACTCTGGCTTCACTGGCTCTTCAACAAAGGACACAGATTTCCTCTTCATGTTGATGGATCTCCTAAAAATTTAAAGGTATTTGTTGACTGACTCAAAATAATTATTTTACTATACTTATTTTTCAAGCCCAGGTCTCTAAAGACAGTATAAAAGACAAGAACCTAAGTGATTGTCTTCTTGGTCTTGGTGTCTCTGTTGTTTTTTCTTCTGTTTGGTTTCCAGAGGGAGTGGCTTTCAGAAGGCTCCGTGTGAAGCGAGGCTGTGGGGTAGAATCCTGCAGAAGAGGACTGGGTATAACAGGGACATAACTCTGTCTTTTGGGGGTTCTAATTACAGCTACATCCTCCACCATGATAGCTGGAGGCTTATCCTGAACCACTGTTGGCTGTGATGTATTGTCCTCCACTGGTTCAGTTTTCTCTTCTGATCTTGGCTGTAAGGGCATGGGTGACTCAATTACCTTTGGCTTGGGTGACTCAACTAGCTTTGACTTGGGTGACCCAGCTTTTCAAAAAAAAAGAAGAAAAAAGTACTGTATAAACAGAATTTTTAGCAAGGATTCAGTTTTGGTATTATTAGCAAGAGTGTTGAGGTCTCTAAAATTGAATATCGCTAATAATTTTCTCAGCTTTGTAGATATCAGTTATTGTTCTGGACATTATAAAATCGCTAATATGACTTCTCGCTAAAACAAAAATTTCAGTTTTTAAGGACAAATTGCCAGATTTGCATCTCACTAAAAATTCTACTTTAACAGCATGCTAGAATAATGCGACTAGCACAGTCTAGTAATTGAAGTAATTTTCTTAATTTTGTATGAAATTAAATGTATAAAATGAGGGCACTTTGCTGTATAAAGGTGCTAAGATATTATACATATCTATATCTATACCTTCACAGTGGTAGGTGGGTTTCCTGATAGGACTAGTCACTTTGAAAAGACCCCAGTCATGTTCAATGGTTTGAGCAGGAGCAGTAGAGGCTTTAAGGCTAGCTTTAAAGGCAGCAAACTTAGATTTGACAGGCTTCTTCATCACTGGTTTGTTGACAACTTTCTTCTGCTTGAATATAAGTGTTTGATATATAAGTATACTTATAAACGTATATGTATAAATGCAGGAAGAATGTAGTTGACACTTACATGTATTTGTAGATTGCAAATATAAATAACTGTTAACAAACTTTTTTCCATGAGATCATAATTCCGCAGAATCACAAAATTACGTGGAATTTTTTGATAGTCTTTGTATGTCTTAAATGCACCCTAAGTATGCTGTGACATATTTCCGTGGAAAATTTATGAAGCATACATGTACATAGCATAAATTAATCCCATATAGATAAAAAGTACTTCTACAGTATTCTATTAGCTTTACATGTATATGACCTACTTTAACCACTTTTGTGACTAGTTCTGGGGATTTCTTCACCCATCCTGATTCCTTCTGTTGTTGTAAATCTTCAAATTTCTTGTCTACATCTTCTACCTGTGATCAAAAGTAGCAACAATTTTCAACTTAGATAAATTATACCTCAAATAATCACATATTCTACAAGTTTTGCAACATTTAATTGTAATTAAAGCTGAAAAACATAGAAAACAGATCAATATTACTAAAGGGCACCATTTAATTCTTGCCTGGTTATAATAAAGCACTGCAATAACTACCTGAAAGTAAATCATATCCCAGAAACCCTGAAGGTCAGTACAAGTAGTCTCCTTCTCACCGGTTTTAAATTCACAGTTGTCAACTAAGCCTGTGAACTGTTTGAATCTTTGAGCTATCAACAGTTGGGCTTGCCCTATCACTGTACGGATCTGTCCTTGTACTGAAACAAAAGTGGAGCGTTATAAGCACAAAATCATTTCTCTTGAGCGAAAAAAGCATATAAACTTCCATCATCAGTAATATGTACTACAGTTGAGTTGTTCTGATAAAGTTAATACCCTCTTCTGAGAGATCTGGTGAGTTGGTTGCTTCCCATTTCTCACACATGTCATTAAGCCTGTTGGTTTCCGATGACAAAAGGTTTCTGAAATATTTTACATCATGTCTTTCTTCTGAAAAACAAAACAAAAGGATTTTTGAATTCTGAAAAAGTGAAAATTAAGGCCCACACTTTTATCAAAGGTTATAATAGTGCAACCCTTGATCTCCCAACAATTTTCCTGGAGTAGTCTCAAAAATACAATGTATCCAGTATTGTACAATACTTGAGGTATCAGGTATACCATTCATACCAGGATAAAGAATTAGGATAAATTTTACCTGTACTATTTAATCCAGAAGTAGGGTCTTGTAATGGCACCACTTTGTCTGCAGCCATTCCATCAGTGTCCATTGAGACTACCCCCTTCTGCTCCAGTGATGTCTCATTATGATTCAGTTCTTTGGCACTTGATTCTAAGGTCTCTTCAACAGCTGCAACATCTTCATCAGTCAATAAAGAGGAATTCAGGTTTGCCATGATTACCTTAGAAATATCTAGGTCACTTTTGACTTCCTCTTTTGGTGGCAAGTCAAGGTCATCAAGGTCAAGCTCCAAGTCTAATGATGGAATTCTTGCTGCAAGGCAATTCATTCCATGAATGTTACATGTACTTCTTGTATTTTCTTAAACCAAACAGTGTTAACTAGGGCTGTCACGGTTCCAAAATTTTTCGGGTTAGGTCGGTTCTCTATATTTTCGGTTCGGTTTCGGGTTTTTCGGGTCGGGTATTTACATCTATTTTAAACCTTTATTTCATGAATTTAACTTGAAAAATCTTTATTTGTTACATTAAATTTACATTGGAAGCAAGTCTTAACCATGCGAACATCTAGACATCGGTGATTTGGCCTACTATTAGCCACAACCTGACCATTCCTGCTCGTTTTGATAATTATCTAATACTTCCGTAACAAGTGTTCTGTCATGGAATAAAGTAGATTTCAGTTGTGATGTTTATTTATCACTGTTATCGTCATCATTCCTTTGATTTCGACACCATTTTTTGTATTGAACAGACTCTAATATATAAACCAGACCCGAACCGAAATCCGGAAAAATGGAACCGGAACCGAACCGAACAACTTGGACCGCGGTTCTCGGTTATTTCGGGTACTCGTGACAGCCCTAGTGTTAACTTTTTAATCACTTTTTTTTGGTAGCATTGTTTACTTACACACTGGAGACTTTTGTTTAGGAGTCTTTCTAGTCATTTCTACCATTGGACTGCTCTTCAGAATCTCCACCCTATATAACAAAGAAATTATTTTTACACTTCCTTTCTTTGTAACCAGCTCAAACTAAAATTCAAGATCTCCCACTTATCTTAATTATAAAACTATCTGCAAAATACAGTGACTACTGACCATTCCTCAGGACTCCTATGCACATGGAGGGTATGCCTTCTCTGCTTTGGCTTGGTACGTTTTGCAGACATTGACTCTGACGGGAGCTTGAAGCCATCCACCACAGCCACAGAGCGGCGAGTGACCTGCTTTGGTTTAGAGTTTTCTTTATCCACAGCTGCCAAGTCTTCTGGGATTTCAGCAAAATCTGGTCTCATTCTGATGGATCGTCTGGACTTTTTCTTTGGTGCTGGAGATGAATTTTCATCAGCAAACACCTCATTGCTCTCTTCCAATTCAGAGGCCAGTTCTTTTGTATTATCCGAAATTCCATGTTCTAGGTTTGATGAAACTTTAGATTTTCTCATTGCTTCCACTGATAGTTTTTTCTCAACCATTTCCTTATCAATATCCTTACTTGGAATCTCTTTGACATCTTCAGAGAGTACATTTGGTGTTTTAATAGATCGTCTTGATTTTCTTTTTGGCACTGAGGATGGCTTGGACTCACTCAAACTATTGTTGATATCCTCTGTCACCTCAACTGTCAGACTATGATTCGTGAGTTTAACAGACCTTGTGGAACCCACTTCATCATTATCCTGTTGATCACCAGCTTCTGCCAATTCCACCAGATTGTCTTTGGCAATTTCTATGTCTTCCATAACCTGATCTGTTTTATCACCTGTTTCTTTCTGCTGCTGCTCTGGTGAATTAATCACATCCACCTTTACATTTCCACTAGGTTTAACACTGACAGACCTTCGTGACTTTCTCCTTTTTGTTGTACTTGTTTCGTCTTGACTATGGGATCTTTTTCTAGACCGAGACCGTGAGGTAAGCTCTCTGCTTGAAGACCTCTTCCTTGATTCTGACTTAGGACCAGCACTCAGTGCATTACTTACAGACTTTCTTGAGCGAGAAGGAGTTTTTCCGACAGATTTTCTGGACTTAGATGGAGTTTCAACCTCTTGGGCAATTGACTTTCTTGCATTATGTTTTGTCTCAACTGCAGATGACTTTTTCATGGATATCGAAGATTCATTACTCTGTGAAAAAGATTTTGTTTGAGAACGTGTTTGTCTTCTGTTTCTGGATGAATCAGAGGAGGTATCTACAACAGGATCATCCTTCAAGCTTTGTTGATGTTTCTCTCCCAGTCTGCTTTTGTTTTCTGTAAAAATTTTTCAAACAAATTACAATGTTTTTTTTTTCTAGATGAATTCTCTATGTCAGATGAACATTGTATACAAGTACACGGATTTAATCAGCAAGTTATTTTGTAAGAAAAGAAAATTCACTGTATTATTACAGTAAAATATTCAATCATACAACAGAAGTAAGAACTTGATAAATTTGACAAGTTCTATAATTGTGGTATAGATCTAAAATACATGTACATGTACCTGTCTTCTCTTCATCAGAAAGTGCCACACTTGCTGCTCGTGTTTTCTTTGGTGTTGAACATCTGAAAAAGCAAGACCCATGTATGATTTCATGAATAAGATGTCCATAGATCAAGATGGTCATCTCAGTATCACAAGTTTTTCAGTATGAACATATTCAATAGCCTCACTTGGAACTTGAACCCATCTATCATCAATTTTGGTCAATGAATTTTCATTTTTCAATAAATGTAATCTATCATCCCCCAGGAACTGTATTACTATTTTTGGTAGATTTTTTAAATTTACCTAGTTGCAAGGGATTTAATCGAAATACTTACAAATTGATGACACTAAAGATGAAATGGAAATATGAAAAGGAAGAAGAATGTATTACAAAGAAGATGGGTGAACAAGGAGGGCGAAGTGCCTATAGTGCCTATAGTGGGACAAACATGAAGTGAAAAATAAAATCTCAATCCATCAAAATTTTCTTTGATATTTCATCTAACATTAAAGTATACTTTATGTAAAATCTCTACAATTTACAAAAATCTCACAAAGACTGAAATTATTTGCTTACGAAATAGCATACACACACTAAAGAGGACAAAAAGGATCATTTTCTCATACTTCAACAAAATTTTTAGATATGAGTGGGTCTTCGCTCCATTTTATTGAAAGTTAATCCTAAAAGTTTGCATAAAAATATACATTTTTTGGTTTACAAAACATGGAGCAAAGACCCACTTTACCTTAAAAGTACACTTTTATGACAATGCATTCACATCTTTCCAAGAAATACTTGAAGTCCATGTAGTCAAGGGTCATATCACAAACATGATTTAAATGCCACTATTCATCAGGAGCTGTGTAGCGTAGTGGTTAGCGTGTTAGTCCTAAAGCAATATGACATTTTATTGTTAGGGGTTAGAATCCCACAAATACCATTTTATTTTTTTTAATATAAGAATAATTTTCTCTGAAATCTTTTTTTCTCAGAAAAGTTTTGTTGATCATAATTTCATAAATTTCAATAATGAGAACTTTTCTTTAAATACTTAATTCACAAATTGAATATGTTTTTTAATATCTGAAGCTATAGGCATTCTGCACGCCTTGTTCACCCATCTTCTTTATTGATGTATGTATATTCCATTTTTTGTTGGGCCTTCGATAAATAATCATGCAAACTTAAAGCAAGGTGTGGCGGATGACAGGAAAAGAGTTGCAAGCCTTCTTTCTTTTAGCATATCAGTCGAAATCGATATATTTAAAAACATATCATTAAAACAAAAGGGTTACATAATTGATTATAGTGCATATCAGAATACAAAAATAGGAAAAAGGCGTGTCAATCCCAGATTTAAAAAGAAATAAAAAATGGAAAAAAGGGGGTCCCCAAAGTGCCTGTGTCCTGGACTCAGGGGTATTGATTTTACAAGTTTGGTAGAAGAATAATACAGTTAAACTCAGTTATAAGCAAAGTCCTTGGGACCTGTGAATTTACTTTGCTCTATCTGCATTTCATTATATCCATATTACAAATTCCCTAAAGTACATGTATATATAGCAAATTTGCAATATACATGTACATATTTAAAGTATGACTACAGAATATGATGAGGAAAGTATTAAATACAAAACTTGTCTTTGGGCACTTATATTTCTGATGTATTGAATTTCAAATATAAATACATGTACTTAAGAAAAATAATGTCAGTTCAATATTTTAAATTTTGAAATCTTAAAAAATTTGTTACGAGAGATATCAGTTTGGTTATTTTTAACCTCTATGGAACACAAAATCAGTTCGCTATATCCATAAATTCTTTATAATCATAAAATTTTACAAGGAATTATAAGATTTTGCCTGGGATCCCAAAAAACTTCACTATACATGTACATGTATCTGTAAATTTGCTGTCAGTGTTCATAGTAAACAGGTTCAACTGAAGTTCATTAAACTCATGCAAACAGTTTGCCTGGAAGCGTCCAAGAGTCAAAAACATTTTTGAAGATTGCATAAATTTTGATGGAGCCCAACTCCTCAGCTCCCAATAGAACATGAAATTCATAATTTTGATCCTGTTTGTCCATAAATATCCTATCCAAAACTGCTTTAGCTATTTCAGAGAGGCTGAAAATGTTCAAAAGTTAATGAATAATGCACATACAATGGATGGGAACAGATAACATTGTTTTGTTTTTTTTTTCACTTGTTTTGGTTTATCTTAATGGAAAGAAAACAGTTATCTTCCTGATGGCAAAACATTTGACTTAATGTCATTGAAAATTTGAAATACACCACTGAAATAAACAAAATGACATATTTATTCCGAGATGAACATAAATGAGGCAAACCTTCCTGGATCCGTAGCAGAAAATACAGCTGTCTCATCAGGATTATTGGAATACAGAAAGTTTTCTGAACTTGTGGGGCTGAGAGGCTTGAAGACAAAAGAAGCCAAGTTGTTGGGAGCCGTGAAAGTAAACTCCTCCGGAGCAAATGACATTCCTCTAGCTGTAGACACCTTTGCCAGGTCAACTGTTGCTTTGTTGACTCCTCCTTGAGCACTCTTCTTGACAGAGGCTTTCTTATCTTTACTTTTCTTAACACTGCTCTGTGCAGGCTGTGATATTTTAGCTGTAATTAAATTTCAAGTACAAAAAGAACCGTCTTATTTCAATATTTATAATTTTACAAAGGTTTCTTCTCTGTTCCATAAATGGAAGGTCGATTTCATGATTGTATCTGATTTTTTTTCCCCTCTTTGACAGAAAAAAATTAAAGAAAAAGTGAGCAAGCTCACATACCCCACGCTCCCCCAAAACTCGACAATGCAACACGTAATGAATGGCACAGTGCATTTTAAATACACAGCATAATTCAAAAAGGGGCATTACTTCATTTACTTGCAAGAAATCATCACATCAAAACTTCTTGCATATAAGGAGATTCATATCTTTGTATGTTACAAATTTAATTGGGCTGAAGTTTCTACCTAAATAATGGAATCAAAATTTCTTGGTAATATACAAATCTATACATTATGTCTGAAATACATGTACCTACAAAGTTTTCTAGGAAATTCAGTGCAGGAGTTATGCTGACAAACTGTTATTGAAATTCCTCAGTCATTTCGATTTGTTAGTGAGTGTAAGTCCATGTCCAACATATGACAATTTACACATTTAAATAATGGAAACAAAATTATGATGTAGTCATTTGAATTTGTTTATATACTGTACTTATGAAATTATTTAAGGCAAAGCACCAATTTGAGGGGAAGGGGGGGGGGGGGAGAGAGAGAACTATCCAAGATTTTGTGTGTGTGTGTGTGTTAAATCATTAATATTTTGATCTCAAAATCATTAGGGGTCTTTTAAGGTCATAAAATACTTCAAACTAGAAATATGTCCATAGGACATGAATGCCCCGCCGAGGGTATATTAGTAATGCAACATTTTAACACAAATTGAGAAAAGTGAGGTCAAGGTCAAAGGAAAGGTCAAGGTGAAAAAATATTGATACAGTTGAATAGCTTACATTAGTATGTATCAGCATATGAAGTTTGACACAAACTTAAGAAAAGTGAGGTCAAGGTCAAATGAAAGTCAAGGTCAGAAAAAAATTGTTTATGCAGTTGAAAGGTTACATCGGTATGTATTAGCATATGAAGTTTGATAAAAATATTATGAATGGTTTTAAAACTAAGCTAAACACTAATTAAAGAAAAGTTAGGTCAAGGTCAAAGGAAAGGTCAAAGTAAAAAAATATTGATGCAGTTGAATAGCTCTCATCAGTATGTATCAGCATATAAAGTTTGACACTAATTTAAGAAAAGTGAGGTCAAGGTCAAAAGAAAGGTCAAGGTCAAAAAATGTTGATGCAGTTGAATAGCTCTCATCAGTATGTATCAGCATATGAAGTTTGATAACACTATCTTGAATGGTATCTTTAAAACTGAGCTAAAAACTTATTTAAGAAAAGTGAGGTCAAGGTCAAAGGAAAGGTCAAGGTAAAAAATATTGATGCAGTTGAATAGCTTTCATCAGTATGTATCAGCATATGAAGTTTGTTGAAAATATCTTGAATGGTTTCATTAAAACTGAGCTAAACACTAATTAAAGAAAAGTGAGGTCAAGGTCAAAAGAAAGGTCAAGGTCAAAAAATGTTGATGCAGTTGAATAACTTACATCAGTATGTATCAACATATGAAGTTTGATTACACTATCTTGAATGGTATCTTTAAAACTGAGCTAAACACTAATTTAAGAAAAGTGAGGTCAAGGTCAAAAGAAAGGTCAAGGTCAAAAAATGTTGATGCAGTTGAATAGCTCTCATCAGTATGTATCACCATATGAAGTTTGATAACACTATCTTGAATGGTATCTTTAAAACTGAGCTAAACACTAATTTAAGACAAGAGGCCCAAGGGCCTTAACAGTCACCTGAGTACAATACAACAATTTAGAGGATCCATAAACTGATAAGTGAAGCTTTGTTGCCCAAAACCAAGAAAAATAGTTTGATTAGCATCAACAAAAAAATTGGTCTAGTATCTATATGCCCCCCCCCCCCCCCCCCATTTATCACTATTCCCATGCAGACTATTAACAAAATGTCTATTATTTAACCCCATGTTATTACTTCTCACAATGGCCTCTCTTGGTCTTTGAAGAACATTTAAAATGATCAGTTATTTTTGTCTCATTTTTATTCATCTATTATTTCCAAGTCATTAAAACTATGAGAGTACTTTTTTTATTATACAATAAATTTTCTTGCATAATTCTCTTATTCTATTAAGCTTCCAAATACATTATTTACATTGATTAATTATCAAAGGTGAATGGCAAAGGGGAATAGCTTTGCTCAGCAGAATACAAGTTAATAGAGCCCTGGCCAGGACCAGAACACTTGACTAAATGGTCCAGGTGTTCAAAATTCTGGTAAAAATACCCTTGCATATTAAAACATTACTCTGTTTGCCTTGAACATCCCCAGAAGCATAGAAGATTTTCAAAGAATTGCATTTTCACCATATTATTAAATAAAGCCCCATCCTTACACCAGAACATCTGACCCATTGGCCACTAACTCACAATTCTGGAAGAAGCACCCTTTCTCATCATAACTATACACTTGTTTCTTTACTTTATAACCAGTAGTAGAAAAAATATTTTGAAAGAAATTATGCATTTTACTATATAATCAATAAAGCTCCCCCCCCCCCCCCTCACCAGAACCCCTGACCCAGGGGCCATGATTTTCACAATTTTGGAAGAGGCATTCTTCCTTATTCTAACCATGCACTTCCTTTGTTTGAAAAATACCCAGGAGCAGAGAAGATGATTTTGAAAGAATTCATGCCTTTTCCCTATATAATCGATAGTGCCCCGCCCTAACACAAGAACCCCTGACCCAGGGGCAATGAAATTCATAATTTCTGAGGAGGCAGCCATGCTCATCATAACTATGTACTTAGTTAGTTATTTAATACCCAGGAGCAGAGAAGAAGATTTTCAAAGAAATAATGCACTTTCACTATATGATCTATATAGCCCCACCCTAGCACCAGAACCCCTGACCCTGGGGCCATGAATTTCACAATTTTGGTAAAGGGCTCAATGCTTATTACAATCATGCCAACAGTTTGACTGCTTGATGTCCAGGAGTAAAGAAGAAGATTTTTAAAGATTGCATTAATTTTGGTGGTTTTAGCCCCACCCCTCAGGCCCCAGGGGGGCAGGGACCATGAAATTCACAATTTTTGTTTCCCTTCACTCATAGATGGTATATGCCAAATTTGGTTGAAATTGGTTAAGCCGTTTCAGAGAAGAAGCTAAAAATGTTCAAATGTTAACATACGACGCACACCGCACGACGACGGACGAGAACGGATAGCAATAGGTCACCTGAGTGACTCAGGTGACCTAAAAAGTGAGGTCAAGGTCAAAAGAAAGGTCAAGGTCAAAAAATGTTGATGCAGTTGAATAGCTCTCATCAGTATGTATCAGCATATGAAGTTTGATAAAAATATCTTGGATAGTTTCTTTGAAACTGAGCTTTGAACAGAGCTAAACGCAAAGTGTGACGGAAGGACAGACAGAAGGACGGAAGGACGGAAGACGGACATGACAAACACTATATGCCCCGGCCATATTCATGGCGGGGCATAATAAAATTTTATTACAAAAGCTGATTCAAGTGGATTTCCTTATTACCTAGCTGGAAAGTTTCTTCAATAATAGGCAAAACTCTTAGGGCAAAAATAATGGAATCGGAATTTCCTGGTAATATGCACATCTACACACTGTGTACTAAATATCTGCAAAGTTTGACCACATTCTGTGCAGCGGTTTATGAGGAGTTGCGCTGACAAAAAACAGGACTGACTGACTGACGGACAGGTCAAAAACATTATACCCCCCACAACTTGTTGCGTGGGGTATAAAAACTCGATGGCATAGTACTGACCTATTTGCTGGTAAACTTTTCAAATTTGAATTCTTCAATTTACCGTGACTTAATAAAATGTTAAATACATGTATTATGCAAACCTTGATTTGGGAAAGACAAGTGTTTAAAAGAAAACTTTTTTCCTGTTATAACTGAGTTTTGAAATATTGTACTCAATATTCTCTGGTCTAATAAATGGAAATACAAAGGATTTTCAATTAAACTCATTTAAATAATAAGATTCAACAACTGAATAGATACACAATAAATTTCAAGTTGATGTTAGAAGTTTGTAGTGGGAACATTTGTATACCTGCTCTCTGATTGGTTGTCCTTGTTACTCTTTCAGTCACTGGTTTATTTGATCCCTATGCAGAAATTGAAAAGAGCAAAAAGTCATTAGTAACTAGATTTGTATTACATGTATTTTAATTTTGTGATTTGAATAATTACTCCAGTGAAGATTTTTCTATTTAAACTCCTGTGACTAAATATTATGCATGTAATGTTTTGCGTTCCACAAAATCAAAAGAGATTGACCTATTTTTTGGTTGCAACAGTGAACACCCCCCCCCCCCCCCAATGCAGCCTGTCAAAAGACATGCACATAATAAAACTCAAAGCCCTTACCTTCTTTATTGATGAATCTGGTTTTGTTACTGATGAATTACCATGTTTCTTTTGAACAACTTCAAATTTGTTCATCTTAGTTTCTTTATTAAATGATTTAGGTTGGAGAGGCATTGTACTTGATTTAGTCTAAAATATATATGAGTCTTTTTAAAAAACTGATAAATCAGAAACAGGCCTGCATGCATAAAATCACAAATAAACAAATTTAAATACTGTAAACATACTTTTTTCTACCGGGTCATACTTCTGCGGAATCACAATTTCTGTTCAATCAAGAGGTTAACAATAACGCAGATTTCTTGGAGTGCCACTGTTCAATGTTTTTCTTCAATATATGCTATGAAAAGTTTCTGCAGAAAATTTGTGATCCTGTACTTAGCGAATTTAAACCCACACGGAAAAAAAGTATGTCCAAAGTATTGAAAATTTGCAGCAATTTTGTTACCTTGCTACATTCTGCAACACCCTTCTTAACTTTAGAAACTTCTAAATTATCAGTGTACTCCATGTGCTTTATGATGAATGGTCTTTTCTTTGCTTTTTCATGTGCTTCCATTTTCTTCTTCAATGCTTTTTCCTCTCTCCATTTCTTCAGTTTTTCTTTCATTTCATTTTGCTTGGTAACCTTGTCAACTGCAAAAAAAAAAAAAAAAAAAAAAATTATTAAAAGTTTTAAAAAATCCTCTGTTACATTTTAAAGGATATTTCCAGATCAAATAGGGACTCTGTGGACTAAGTTCAAGTCAGAAGAGAATACAATATTGACTCAACACAGTCTGGAAATAAGATGACTGTGGGCAAAAGGATTTGTATGATGCCCATACACTTAGTTTTAACTTCTAATATTCAAGTCTGTGGAATTATCAAATATGCAGAGGAATTTGATATCTTTCATCTGTTTGGCTTGTCAGTATGATACGGCAAATGTGCAGTACTTCATTTGATCTTTGTCAATGAGGATCAACATCTATTCTAATTCTTAAAATGAGGTTAGATGTTGATCCTCATTGACAAAGATCAAATGAAGTACTCCACAGTTCAACTTTCAGAGCTGTGGAAAACTTTTTCAGAAAGCCAGTCATTCGAACTGGCAAGAAGACAAAATAAGCCGGTCCGAAGTGATTTTTGCCGGTCTGAAATAGTAAGTCGAAAAATTTAAAAAAAAGGCATAACAATTATTTAGTTCATTACACATCTATTTACTTAATAATAAAAAAAAAAACATTCAGTCTCTATTTCCAAGTCCTCTCCATTTTCGTTTTTTTGCATTTATAACAATACTAGATTTCACCGCTTTTGGGCAGGTGACAATGCTAATTCAGCATAGTAAAGGTAATTTTTTTTAAACATATATGCATTTGGGAATTATATTAACCTAGAAAATGAGTCTAAAAAATTGAAGAAATTCTGTGCATCGATCAAGATATTAACACGATCGATGAAAAAACGAAATCCGGGACAGTCGAAAGTACTTGATTTACCGCTTTCCCCAACTGTGTTTGAATTCTTTCTGTCGAAATTTTTCATATTTAGCTTGTCTTTATCTGTTTCTTTATGTTTTCTAGCTAATTCTGCCCCAGTTGTAAATTTAATAGGTCATGAGACCATGATGGTTTCACTTTCATTTACAGCCTCGATCTCGTGTAAAGAAAAAGTATTATGCAATCGCATATAAGGTACAGTAATTAAGCTGGGAAGTGTGCCAATGATAAATGGAAAAACAAAAAAACTTTAACCAAAAAAGGGGCTGGTCATTTGGACCGACATCGATAGCATTTTTACCGGTCACATGCATTTTTTGCCAGTTTTGCCGGCATGACCGGCAGTTTTCCACAGCTCTGGACTTTCATGATACCTCAGTTATAATGAGTATAAATGAAGCTAACATAGTTTGATGCACCTATCCTTAAAAATAAAACTCACTGAATCAAAGTGACCTCTTTGTGTCATCATTTTCAGAATTAAGATGACAAACATGACATCGAGCCTAATTACATATATTTCAGTGGAGGAAAATATTTGTCCAACAAGAGTATTTTATTTTCCTTGGCAAAAATTATGTTGATTCAGAAAATTGTGAAATAATTCCATATCTCAGAGAAATGCAGGGAATTAAAGCTATTAAAATGCAGTTTGGTGACCTCTTAAGACCGTTTCTGGAAGCAAAACAACGTGCAAGTATGAGGATAACATTCCATATGTATAAATACATGTAAGATTAACATTTCACCTATTTGTGTTGTCAGGTATCTTTTTTTTTTCCAGATAATTATTTTCATAAATATCTTTAATGACATGCTTGTAATGCAGGTTTTGGGGTTCAAAATGGCAATCTGTGGCCTTAGAATGTTAAATATGACAAAAGGGCATAAGTTATGATAACACTTGACAAAGTTTTCCAAAAATTGCCTTTTGTAACCCTTGAAAGGTTAATGAAGTAACAAGAAGAGGAGTAAAGTACATGTTTCATTAAAGGATATTGTTACCACGCTTTCAGTCGGAAATGTATACCATATTATGCTATAATTTGAGAGATATAATAGTACTCAAAGCTTGCAACCAAAAAATGTCGCTGTAAACCATTAAAGCCAAAGTTTTTTTTTTTTTAAATGAGTGGATCTACGGCTCTCTGATAGATGTGTCTGAACTGTCTTTCCCAGACAGCTATATCAAAGGTATTCCCTTTAGAGAAGTGGACAGGCTTTCACCTGAAGTGTAGGCCATCACTGGTTCTAAATTTATACATTTTCCAGAATCAAAACATGAAGGCTTGCGAAGAGAAGTGGATGTAGGCGAAAGCCTGTCCAGTTCTCTAACGAGAATATATCAAAGGCATTACTGTGAATACTTCAACTTTCTTGCCTAGATGTTGCAAAACTAAGTAGGTCAAAGGGTAAATTTTTTTCTAAAATCATCACTTTTACTTTAAATTCCATTTCAAAAACAACTTTGTCCACTTAACTGCTCAAACCTCGCATATAAATCACATAATGATATATATGCAAATATTTACGTCAGATCACAACTTCTGTATCTGTACATGTATATAGTACGTCGTGGTAACCAATACTGGCTTTTATACGACGGGCCTAGTTCTGGGGTATTTGTATTTTTACATACTTTGTTTCCCTTTTTAATTGTACGAACCTTTACTGGGTTTGGTTGGAGTTTTGTCTTTGTATGTAGAACGTTGGGAATTGTTCTCTTTTGCCTCTTGTAGTGGGGACAAGTTTTTTAGGTTTCGTCTTTTACTGACTTCTTCTCCCCTCAGATTCTTCCATTCGATGGAACGTCGGCTAAGACGGGCATCTCTTTTCTGAAGAACTGATCCAGATTTTAATTTGTATGCCGCTGTAAATTCCGACGATTTACCCGTCTTTTCCATCCTGTCCTTTGAATTTGGCGCACACCAGTGTAGTTTGAAAAATTATTGGTTGGAGTAAATCAGCGCCACCTAGATTCGGGGAGCTTATTTTGGAAAGTTCGAGCCCGAGTGATATTTCCTTCAGAGTATGCAAAATTACAAGCACTAAAAATGTGATATTTTATCTTCATAAGTATTAATTAGATTGCCTATGTCTGCGTTTTCTTTTGCTTGTAAAGTAAGGAAACGGATAAAATTCTTTTTTTGGCATGTCAAAATCGTTTATTTTTTATTTTTGTTCGGTTGCCTCCTCACCCCCCCCACCCCCACCCCATGAAATTGCTTCCTACGGATCCGATGCATTTAAGATTCTTCCGACTATGCATTTTTAAATAAGGCATTCAATTGTTTTATTTCATCTTGACTTGTGATCGTCTTGCATGAAACACTTCTCAAATATACCAGTATGGGATGAATAATTATCTTATCGTACAGAACTTTTATTGGTACTAATGATAAACAGAATGAAAATATAAGGATTTATTTGAAGTTGCAGATATACGGAATTACACGTAGGTCGTGAATGTTATATTTCCTCTGTGGATTAACCCTTTCAAATCATCGGTGGGCCCAGTCCTTCAGTTACTGACAAAGAACAAAAAGTCATATGCATATTGTTCATACTATTGAATCACACTCCTTTTATGAACAAAGAATATATTGTCATTATACTTAAAATTAATACACAGATTTACTGTTCTATATATAACTCTGATCCGGCAAAAGCAAAAACATGAGGATGTATCATAAAGCATGCAAAATAGGCATGCTTCAAAGGTCTTCATGTTTTTGCATTGAAGACAATATCTTGAACATTATAGAACTGCAAACTGAAAGGCTGAACTTGCAGTGGGAAAAAAAACTTCAGGAAATAGTGAAATAGATAGATTAAAAAAAAAAGTAATATTATGTAAATTTTGAATTTACTAGAAAATGCTAAGAAGATGGACGAACAAGGCGTGCAGAATGCCTATAGCTTCAGATATATAAAAATTATATTCAATTTGTGAATTTAGTTTTTAAAGTTCTTACCATTGAATGATTTATGATAAACAAAACTTTTCTTAGGAAAATTTTCTCGGCAAAAATATTCTATCATTAAAAAAAATATGTGGTATTCTTGAGATTTGAACCCCATGCAATAAAAATCTTCAATAGAGACTAACACGCTAACCACTATGCTACACAACTTCTGACAAATCATGGCAATTAAATCATGTTTGTAATATGACCTGTGACAAAATGGACTTCAAGTATTTCTCGGAAATATACGAATGCTGCGTTATAAAAGTGTATTTTTTAAGTATAGTGGTTCTTTCCTCCATGTTTTTGTTAGCAAAAAAATGTATATTTTTACGCATACTTTGAGGATAAACTTTCAAAAAAATGGAGCGAACACCCACTTATAGGGAAAAACTTTGTTATAATATGAGAAATTGGTCAGTTCTGCCCTGTTTGGTGTGTGTATGCTATTTTAGAGACAAATCATTTCATTCTTTGTGAGATTTTTGCAAATTGTTGAGATTTTACATAAACTATACTTGAATGTTAGATGAAATATCAAAAAAATTTCTTATAACTGAGAATATTTTCGACTATATATTGAGTATATTCGAATATTTACATTCCACATTTATTTCGCTTATAAAGTGTGTGGAAAGCTACAGCATTCAAAACACCATAACACGGACGGGGGGGGGGGGGGGGTAAAGGTTTGAGTATGCATTTTATTTTGACGTCACAAATGTTGAACGCCCTGCAAGTGCAACGTCATAACCGAAGTCAAAATTCACACTCACATTGAACAAACGCTGTTGCACAATCGGAACATCACTCGGCCTTTTCCGCCAAGTCAAGAAAAAATTTGACTTGACGGAAAAGGCAGAGTGATATTCCGATTGGCTGTTGCAATGGCTCTTCCATTCATTGTAAGTTACCCGAAGGATAAAACAGGGATTTTGGAACATAAATCATATTTGTAGTCAAGGCAAGGAGTTAAAAAATTGTTAATATTATAAGCATTGAATTATTATTTTTTGAAAGATGTAGTCTCATAACTGCAACGGTGTATGCAAACAAATTTTCTTATCGCACGTTACTCAATTTGCACATTATGTTACAGTCATGAGACTACATTTTTCAAAGAATAGTGATTCAATGCTTAATTTAATTTTTCACCTTCATACTTGCCGTATCATATATGTGAGGTATTTCGCTCGCCTTGTTCACCCATCTTCTTTACAAAAGTTGTAAATTATGCATTAAAAATGCCTTTATCTAGTAAATTCAAAAATTTACAACACGATAATAAGTAAACTTATTCTTTATGAAGACAGGAAATATTGCTTATATAAAGTAGATTATCTTAATGTTATTATGTATCTGCAATTTGGGAACTCCCATCCCCAACAACTTTTTTAAAGGTCATTGATAGAAATATTGTTAAACTGTGTCATAATGACGTCATTTCGGTATACAACGAGCAAAGGTGGTAAAAGTGGTCAATTTTTACAGTTTAATTTTATTGAATTACTCCTAAGATACGAATTGTTTTGATGACTACATATTGAGACAGAGAGAGAGACGTACCTTGGTTACTGCCTGAAGTCATGAATCGTGTCATTATTTCAGTCTTCAGAATTTCAAGAATTTCTTACAAGCTTTACGCGCCAATTTTTGAGGTATTACTTTAATAGTTAATACCTATAAATTATGTAGCAGAGCACACGTCTATCTACATATACAAACTTTACAAATGTATTTTGTGAAATTGATATAAAATCATTCTTAACCCAGATATTTTATGCTGTACATCGGAGGTTGTGCTTAAACTTTATTTTTTTCTTTAGACACAAAAAGTATGGTTAGGTTAATGCGTCAAATCAGATATAGGATGAACATTAATTAATAGAAATTTTAAAAGGATCATTTTTCTATATCTTATTGTCATTGAATTCATCCTTTTCGACCACAACTTATGATTAATAAAAACAAAATAAATCCCCCCCCCCAAAAAAAAAAAACAAACAATCAAACAAAACAAAACAAAACAAACAAGATGTGTTTGTGAAACACTGATGCCCCCGTATGACAACTTATAGCAAAGGTTAAACTTTCTCAAATGCAAATCAAATATGATGGTACCCAAAGTAAGGTCTTGTCTCGAGGAATATACCTGTGAAATATGAGAGCCCTAGCAGCAACAATTGAATAGATATGGAAAAGGTTAAAGTTTTTCAAAAGTAAGTCAAACATCAATGTTAAGGTCAAATGGTAAAAAAAATGGTGCCTAAGGAAAGGCCTTCTCACAAGAAACATACTGGTGAAATATGAAAGCTGAAGCATCAATCGTTCAAAAGTTATGACCAAGGTTTAAGCTTTCCAAAAGTAGGTCAAACTCCAAGGTCAAGGTCAATGGATTACAATTGTTGGTATCCAAAGGAAGGTCTTGTCACAAGGATTACATATGTGAAGTATAAAATCCCTAGCACCAACGGTTCACAAGTTATGACCAAGGTTAAAGTTTTCCAAAAGTAGTCAAACTCCAAGGTCAAGGTCAAAGGGTCAAAGTTGTTGGTCTTGTCATAAGGATTACATATGTGAAGTATGAAAGCCCTAGCTCTAAAGGTTCACAAGTTATGGCCAAGCTTAAAGTTTTTCAAATGTAGGTCAATCTCCAAGGTCAAGGTCAATGGATTACAATTGCGGGTATCCAAAGGAAGGACTTGTCACAAGGATTTCATGTGTGAAGTATGAAAGCCCTAGCACCAATTGTTCAAAAATTATGGCCAATTTTAAAGTTTTTCAAAAGTAGGTCAATCTCCAAGGTCAAAGGGTCAAAGTTGTTGGTATGCAAAGGAAGGTCATGTCACAAGGATTACATATGTGAAGTATGAAAGCCTTAGCACCAACTGTTCAAAAGTTATGGCCAATGTTAAAGTTTTTCAAAAGTAGGTCAAACTCCAAGGTCAAGGTCAAAGGGTCAAAGTTGTTGGTATCCAAAGAAAGGTCTTGTCACAAGGATTACACATGTAAAGTATGAAAGCCCTAGCTCCAACGGTTTACAAGTTATGGCCAAGCTTAAAGTTTTTCAAAAGTAGGTCAAACATCAGGTTCAAGGTCAAAGGGTCAAAGTTGTTGGTATCCAAAGGAAGGACTTGTCACAAGGATTACATATGTGAAGAATGAAAGCCCTAGCACCAATTGTTCAAAAGATATGGCCAAGGTTAAAGTTTTTCAAAAGTAGGTCAATCTCCAAGGTCAAGGTCAAGAGTCAAAGTTGTTGGTATGCAAAGGGAGGTCTTGTCACAAGAATTACTATTAGTACACATGTAAAGTATGAAAGCCCTAGCTTCAATTGTTCAAAAGTTATGGCCAAGGTTAAAGTTGGGTAAAATTTTGTAAAACTAGGTCAAACTCCAAGGTCAAGGTCAAATATGGTTGTACCCAAAGAATGGTCTTGTCACAAGAAATACACATGTGAAATATAAAAGCCAGAGCTCCAAGCAATCAAAAGTTATGGGCAATGTTAAAGTTTTTGCGGACAAACAGACAAACAGATAAACAGACAGACAGACGGACGGACGGACAGTGCAAAAACTATATACCCCCGAATCTTCGATATGGGGGCATAAAAAGAAAGCAAAAACGAGCAGATATAAAGCTAACTACATGTAACTGCATTTTTTTTTTCCAATCCTCTCGTGATTTCTATCTCAATGTGTTACAAACAATCTATAAAAAACAAAACCAAAAAAAAAAAAAAAAAAAAAAAGAAAAGAAAAAAACGACATTTATTCAAAGGCGTTAAAATATAATGGATACAGAGACGCAGGTTTTTCGCACTCTTAGTAAACCCAGCGGAGTGTCCACGCGACAAACTTGTCGGAAGATCGAGCATCTGATTTCATAGGAGGCAACAGCCGTGGACAAATAGTCTTTACCTGTCACAGCGTGACACGGGTTTACAAGTAATAGATATGCAATAACTTAATAGCCATGTCCTTTTCTACTTTTAATTTAAAGTTACACTTGTTTAATTACACTCTTCACTTGATAAACTCCGTTTATTGCCATGGCTAATGGCTTAAGGAGGTTCTAAACACTGCACACTAAAGAGTTCTAATCTTATGGTAATTTTATGCAGTTAAGGTGATCTGCCCTGAGATGTAAGATTGAATAAATGACAATATACGGTGAATGACAGAATTTGTAAACAGATAAAAGTATTTCATCATAATGTAAGACCAAGATAAAGTAATTGAATATGTAAATAAACAACAGTGATTTCTGTTCACCAATGCTTCATTTTCCTGGATAACCGACTTTAAAGCAAGTGATGATACTTGCATATTTATCGCGTATCTCATTTCTTTTATCACCCCATACACATCAAATTATACTTATTCCTAAAATACAACCAACAGCATGCTATAGCTAACTCGTATTGAAAGTTCTCCAAGATTGAAAAAATGGTGACTATATTTTTTCCTCTTGATTAGTATTTGAATTTTATCTATATCTTCGAGTTCTATGTGTCCAAATGTATTTTCTTTTCTTTATTTATTTCTCTCTTAAAACTTTTAATTCACAGTTTCGATCTGATACAGATAATCGATAACAAATATTTTCTGTAATTGCGAGAGAGAGAGAGAGTTTACATGAACAGATTCTTCCAGTGCCCCAGCTTTCGTCAAATTTACTTGGTTATTATTCTTATAAGCAATAGACATATACTTGTTGTGTCGTACATACATGTATTTTTATGGAGGATATTAATCAACCCATTCAAAGAGGGTTTTTGACATTATATCTCACGATATAGATAAAATATTTTATTTTTAGAGCAATAAGATGTGTAATTTTGTCTGATTTTCAAATGATCCCAGTGTGGATTTCTTGACTGAATAATCAGCATTAGTATGAATTAATCCTTCTAAAACAATACTTATCAATACGGTTTAATAAATCTTGCACATGTACTGCATGTATTAATTCACTTTTACTAAGAATGTGTAGTTTCAGTCTCATTCACACTGCGTGAACAGCTATATGTATTTATGTCAAAAGGATTTTTTCCCCTAGTCTTTTAGGGTTAATTCGAAACTGAAGCCAATGAAGTTTTGTATTTTCGGTATGTTTGAATGGGAAACAAAAAAAAAAATCCCATTCAGAATCACGTGAGTGACTTGACCGGTTCTGGCTACCTATAGGCTTAATGGCATTAATATTCAAAATTTCATAAAGATTTCTTTGCATTTAGTAAAGATAACACAAGTGAACTTGTGATGAAATTTATTAAAATATAATTTACGAAATATAAACGTAGAAATTTGTTTTTCCGAAAATAAATCAAGTAAAGTCACATATAACAAAGGCAACTTCAATCCACACAACTTCACACACACACACGTTGTTGTTTTAAAACTCGGAATAGTCCAGAGTAAAACTTTGTATTTTCTTGATGACGGAATGTTCAGTACATAATATTCACGTCCGGGATTGTCCACGGCGGTTCTAAAACTGACTCTCTCATACGACATACGGCATTCACTCAAACTTCAATTAACACATTTACGCAATTGTCACATATACGAGTTGGACACTCTTTGAGACAAAGAAACACTAATTCCTTAAATAAATTTTGAGTGACAATTTCCTTTTTACTGTCTATAACATTAATTGTTAGATAAATAATTATAAACATATGTCAAAAATAGCCATTAACAATAATTCTTTTATAAAATCAAATTTCGTAACTTTGTAAATTAATTCTGTAAAATTTACTATGTGACAAAACTTAACTTTTGTGTAACATATGGCATATGAACTTTAGGCAGAGAAGCAATATTTTTATTTTTCATCCATTTTCGTATAGCAGCGAGAAATAAGCACAGAAATGTTCATTTTCCCCCATCAAGTGAATACCTTTGACATTCTTGTTATTTCTTTTTTTGATATTAAGGATTTCAGCACAAATCAAAAACAAGTTTGGTGATAGTGGGGTCACCCTGACGACAACCCCGGGCGGTACATTTTCACATTGTTCTCTATCACTCAAAATGTTACTGTGGTTAAAAGCTCGTGAACATTTTTTGAAGATCAATTAAATTTTGTCGTACTGAAAGACAAAACCAAATAATGTAAGGATAAATAAAAACACAATCTTAATTTATGTTAATTTTTATGAAATTTTCAGTGAAAAAAGGCTCTTGAATAACCATATTTTCACTTACGTAGTTTCAGAATAGTTTGAAATTTAAGCTTGCTTTGTCTTTCCAAAACCAAAACGCAATGAGGAGCTGAGAAATCCTGTTAAGGGAGAAATGTCACTGTATACTAAGCTTTCTATGGAGAATTGTCATAATGAAACCAAATGTCCGGGAAGGGCGAGATGGGAGGGATAGCAGAGAGCTACTCTGTGTCCTACGGTGGATATACTCATCGTGATTTATGCAACGTACCTGTTCATCAGCGTGTCCAATATATCAGGAGCCAGATGTACTAACAAACCTCTTTCAGTTGCAATCTTTTTTCGGTTTCATATGATGAATTGGTCAGTTGAAATGATCTTTCCATGGGCAAATGGAAAAAAAAGTCACATTCCCTTATGCATTCCGAGATTTTACCAATATTATTCAACAGGCGCAATCCCATATATCAATCTTCGTTTTCTTTTTGATAATTTAAATATTTCCAGCGGGAAATATATACCTTATCATCCATTAAAAAAAGGCCAGCTAATTATCTTTCCTAAGAGCCTTGGCTCTCTATTGGATTTTTTTCTTCTTCTTTATGTTCGAGAATTTTTCACTCATACATGTTTTAGGACTCCACCAATTGCCAGTGGAGGACTGCATTTAGACCTATACTCGGCACTTATGTGCATTTAGTAGTGGGAGATCTTTTGTCGTGCCCGCATCTACTGCGACAAGGGACCTCGGTTTATAATGTCTCATTCGAAGGACCGGTCTTCACCTTCCGCAGTGGGGGCTGTTTATCTGAAACTTGAATTCCCTTCATCCAAAGAAGCTTGGTGTCAATTTCGCTGAAATTGACCCTGTAGTTAAAGAGATCGAAAATTGAAAAAAAAGAAAAGTTATTAGAATATATACAGAATGGACTGCGGACAAATCAGAAAGCTCGCTTGAGCCATTGGCTCAGGTTAGCTAGAGAAAAAGAAAAGAAAAGAAAACGAATATTTGAGCAATACCTATTATTTTATTAAAAATGTTAATACAAAAATGCACTAAATAAATAACACACACCACGTAAGAATACAAACAATTCATTGTACATGTACATGCAATCTCATTTGTAGTATATATATAAAACTCGTGTACTATTTTCATATTATGCGAAATTTGGCATCCACGGTACAAAACAGACACCATCAAAACAAAAGTGGGACGATTCTGTGAGGGACTTTTTGGCAGTATTCTACCCAGAAACTTCCATATTTATCTCCGCATTTGTCGTCGTCACGGTAACTGCGATGAATCAACAAGAAGGTAAGAAATATGACGTAAGAATAGGGCATGACGTTCACAAACATGGCTGGAATGGTCCAGCAAAAGGCAAGCATAATTTCTGCCAAATAGTTAAAATGTCTAGCTAGACCCCACCAGCCTGACGCTAATAGAATGCTCTCTTTCTCTTTGCCGTTTTCGAGCTGATATTTGGCACGAATGATGTTTGGTTTTTTCCCCCAGACTAGACATTCTCCACCAGTGCCTCTGACTTCCTGTTTCTGTAGGTCGGCGAGATAATTAACTGCTATACATAAAACTCCCGCCCCAAGAATAAGCAAGGACCACGTGAATCCCAAACGAACGGGGTGATTCACGAGATACATGCTTACTGACGCGTAAAAGTTTGGCACGAAAACGAGGCAGCCCCAACATATATAATAGCCAGCCCTGTCAACCATTATATCGATGGTGCTCATATATCCCCCCTCCCACCAAAAGAATTTGGTGATGTAGACTAATTGCAATGTAACTGATACGAACATACTGTCTACAAAACCATACAATTCAAAACTTTTCAAACCATGTATGCACACGAGTAATGCCCATACGGTCATCCCAAAACGACAGTTGGTGAAGACTTTAACGTCAATGCCAAAGACTCGCGGATACAATTCCGTTCCCCAGTAATAGTCGAATATGAAATTTCCAGAGACTCCATTATCCGTAGTAGAGGGCCAATATCGACCCTTCAGATAAAGAAACATACAAAATAATGGGCTGAATATTTGAAGTGTAGCTATGAATTCATCAAATCGATCGTATATCACAGTTGGCGAGAGTCCCTGCATTTTCAGCAAAGCAGTGATAATGAAAAAGGTTGTCATAGTAACGACGTAGTTCAGGAAACCATTATCAACATATACCGGTGTATTTCCTTTCGGGGTCAAAGGACCTTTGATTATTTTTCCCGGAAGTAACTTCATCATAATTGCAGACCAAATCAGGAATCCCAAAAACACGCCAACACTGAACTGGGTCGGCAGTCTCATTGTGGCCCAGATTTCCATCAAAGACGGAAAGAACGGCTTTCCTGAAAATCGACTGAAGAAAACGGAATAGCTTCCTCCACAGTAGGTTGCACAGTACCACATGATAAGCACAAGGTTTGGAGTGAAGAGCATTAGAAATAAAGGGAAAACGGTCATATTCCATAATCTCTTGGCCCGCTTCATCAACCCAATCTTCTCAAGTTGTTCATAGCCCTCTTTGTATCCATGGAATCCATGCGCTAGCACATCCTGTCCGTTAGACTGTTCCCCTTTGGTCATTCCGTTCCGAGCACGAACAGTTGACATCGTCTCTGAAATCTAAAAATAGGAGTTAAAGATGTATAAAGTTTTGCCGGCTGCTATAAATATCTAGAAAATCAGAGTGGAAACCTAGCATAATCCAGCATGCACGAGTGATAATGGTAAAGTATCGCATAGGAAGTTTGTTGACTTCTATTTACTTGGAAATAAGGGGTTAAATTTGCTCCTATATATGATTGCTTATTTTTTTTTATATCGTTTCATTGGAGATATCAGTATGCAGATAAAAAAAACTTTACACTAAATTATTTCCAGTATTTTAAGAGGATGCCTAGATTGTTAATTCTTTACCGTTCTATAAAGTTGTTACAAAAATTTTGTCGATCCAACTTGGCACCATTATATAGACGATATTTTAGATAATAATATTCAGTTTTGCATAGTTTTTAAAATTTTGTAACTACTACTGTCGGATACTTTTAAAAGACCACAAAATGATACTCGGTATATACCGTACAAATTTCTTTTGAGGGATTAGCTTGTTTCAGGGACAGTCCTTCAATTTATAAATGAACAAACAAGAACGCACATTAATGCACTATTTCATATAAAACTGTAAACAACATTTTCCTCTATATACAATGTATATATTGTCATTACTTATTTATATAGTCTAAACTACTTACACAGATCAACTATTATAACAATACCAAGGAAGTATGACATTTATATGCAGTCCAACTTTGCAAATCGATTTGAAAGAAGTGAAGGCCGCCTAATTTGACTAATTTTCAATTATTTTTTGTATCTTTCATACATTTGTATTCCTAGCTCTATCGATATTTAAACATACCTGATTGTTCGAATTTTCGTAGTTCCTTTTTTAAACTTGATTCCTACAAAGAAAAGAAAAGAGAATCGTTTTACTGCGTCACGGTTAATGACGTCATTATTATATTTTTTTCCCTCTACACTCCGCCTCGTTTTAATAAAATGGAAAATAAGAACCTGTTTAAAATATTCTAATTACATATCAGCCCCCTCCCCCTCCCCCCCCCCCCCCGAAAAAAAAAATCACCATGAATAAATTCACAACCATTTAAATTATACGGTAGCCATACTAACGTTCCTGAATGGTTACATTAACAAAAAGGATGGTGTTCTTGTCCAATTCTAAGCCTTTGTCAAGATGTTACAATCATAACACAAAACGGAAACGGCATAACAGGAGAACAAGAATCCAAACGGAAGTTTTTCGCACTCTAAGTACATGTCAAGGTATATTGTCCACGCGGCTGAATTGTCAGACGACCGAGCATCTGATTTCATGAGAGCCAACAGCCGTGGACAACAAAGGTTCATACCTGTCACAGCGGGACACAGGGTTACGATTAAGATAGATACAATATTTTAGAAATCTTGTCTTTTTTGTCAATATTAACTTCAGGCTACGCTCGTTCACTACACATTTCACTTGATGGATTTCATTATTTAATATCATTAGCCGGTGACCCATTAGCCTAATAAATACCCATGGCTCTTAACAATACTTCTGCCAATAAAAATATGTATACATTAAAATAAAAATCAACTGTCATACCGCAAAATGAATTAAAGTTCCTTTAAAATATTTTGCACATCCTCTCTCAACTTTATACTTTCACTGTTAATAAAAAGTCTTGTTTTGCACTTACGGGTAAAACAAAAACTGTACTGTCACAGCTCCGTGCAGATACATACACACATTACTTATACATACATCAGATTTTATGTATCACTGTATATATATAATGTCAGACGCAAACGCCCAGGGCAATTTTCCGGGACTACCACAGATGCAAGGAGACGAGGTGCTAATTGTGTCCATTGGGTATGGAACGATCCTTAATTCCAATAATTATACTTGCAGTGACAACTGTGAAATAATGAGGATGTTGACAAACGGAGATCATGCCTCTCATGGAACAATTAAAGACACATGCCTCCTAACCCAGATTGACTCCACGACCGAGATAGTTTCAGTGTAATATACATGTATGTAAAGATGTTCAAATGCTAAATGCTTTGGCACATACTAGTATATAACGCCACGATCTCGAGTGGTCATCCCTTGCTAAAATTTTATCTCTATATTCAGTATATGTCCCCATTCAATATGACATGCCCCACCATGCTCTATCACATCTATGCAAACATGATAATACACGCCGGTATTATACTGATGTATTTTGTTCCAGTCTTTTATTTGACATTGAGCATTTCCTATATAACGTCTTTACACATTCTTAAGTACATATTCAGTATACCAATGCATATATCGTCTGACTGATACAAAAATTTCAGGGGAAAAAATTGTCTTTCACTCGTACGTACCGGACCACTCTATATAAAAAATTATTGCAAGTTCTAAGCGCAATAGCTCTTTACTGATAGAGTTTTATCTCTTTTGGCATCTCTTCAGAAAGCATCTCGCAGTGCCAGAGGATTTTTTTTTTTAAAAAGAATGCAGTTGCTAGCGACATATTAATGTATATTTTTTTTTCTTTGCAAAAAAAGGAAACATGTAGAGGAAGCCTTACCTTGGAGAGCGTGCGCCTTAATTTCAGTCACACCACTGCTTATTGATTTTCACTCTGATTCATCACACGATGGGGGAGGTCAAAGGTCATCTGCGAACTCCGAGACGTACGAAATGCAAACGATTTACATTACTACAACAAAAATAAACATCTTTATGATAAGTATCGTCTGCAGAGCTATGAAAGAGGAGTTAGTGCTACTTTTTCACGATATACTGCTCACAGGCCAAAGGATGACAGCTAAGCAAAATTTGATTAGTACAATTATTTGGTAATTTTGCGCTATTTCAGAGCAAATGTTCCACTTCTTTGTGAGTCACACACGTTTCATGTATTCAACGTATGGTTTCAATCGATAGTATTTTGGCAAGCATTAAAATTGGTGGGGATAGAAATATATTTTTGAATTCACCTTATTTTTGCAAATATATTTTAATTCTTCAGCTACAAAAATGAAATTCATGATTTCGTGAGCAAATATCACAATCAAATAGACAATGTAGTAAGTCCATCATAGTACAAATTCAGAGCCCCCCCCCCCCCCAAAAAAAAATCGCTGTCCAATTATATAAATCCAAACATGAACGGAGAAACATCAAGTCCCTAGGTTTGTTTCACAACACATTTATATAAGCATGGAATTCCATTGAAAGTATTGTAGTGCAAGCTTATCAACACGATTTATCATTTTCTTCACACAAGAACGCACTCATTACATCTGGCGTTTGCAAGAACAACGACAATATACCGTTTTACCTCTTGCTCTAAGAAACTGTGTGAATTTTGATAAGATGTAATAAATTTGCGACTAACCTTGGGGGCTTAGGATATATCAAATACACGTGTATATTCATATATTCAGAGAGAAAATATGAGGTGAATAGGTTACATCATATATAGGAAAATTAAAACCTTGCAGAAAAACGTAAGCCTAATCCAGGTTCGTCAGCCCTTATTAACATTCACTTCAGTACAAGTCAGGCAAAGGGTCACGGTATGATAAAAATTTAGATCGCGGTCTTTGGTGACAATATATATACTTTGGGTCCGTTTTTAATATCTTCTCTGAAGTTTATCTATATGCTTATGATTTAAATGGCATATTTTCATCCTTTTACCAACCTTTTTCTTTTTAGATTTATATTTTCGTCTTAAACTGAGAGGTAATAAATTTGGCATGTTTAATTTGGGAATTTAATACAGGTGTTTGTGTTAAAGAGGATAATCTATTGAAAAAATTAAGTCCAACAATAGCGATTTGTTGTCCATATATATTTGAAGTGTTTTAATGTTGTGGCAAGACTGCAATACTCGTAATTGCCCCTTGTGTGTAGTACTTTCAGCATCACTTCAAAGTACTCATAACAGTTATTAAAGATTTTTCCTGGTAACTATTTGAAAACTGATTTTATACTCGTGTTCGAATGAATAGACAAAGAAGAAGCAGAGACGAAATTTATAGACGGACGGACAAACAGCTTACACTGGCCAACGGTTGATCAGAAAAGCTATGCTGGTTTTCAAATCGATGTCAAGTTGTAAATTTTGAATTTACCAGGTGGCAGTAAATTTAAAATTTACAAGTTGTCATGTTGTAAATTTTTTATTTACTGCCACCCGGTAAATTCAAAATTTACATGACACTGAACCTAAAATTCATCAGTGCATAATGGGAAAAACAGTTCAAGAAATAACACAATTTAAATTCAATATATTTCTAAGAGTGAGTTGTCTTGATTCAATGGTTATGTTTTCAAATATAGGAGTCGAACTGTATTCGATGTGACACGTTACATTACTCCGTAGCAGTCCTTCGATTAGTTGCCATATGTTACTTTCATTATATTATTATTATATATATACATCTGTATATCTTCTTTTAAGAATCAATGATTGATTTTTTTTTTGGTCGTTATTTATATAGACTGTCTATATAAATGTCTAAGACATTTTATCATCCATGCATGCACTGTCGTAACTATAAATATGTCTATATATTTTTTTCTCAGCGATGTATTGACATAAATTATAAGAATGTCGTCTAATCGTTTATTGACTACTTCCATCTGTTGCTGTATTCATTCTTTTCTCTTTACAATTATGAAAGATTTTCAAAATGCTTCGGTGAATAGTCAACTACATATCTTGCATATATATGCTTGTTAACATATATTATCGCTAGATTTCGTTGTCGTAGTCTATGAAGAATGCATATCCCGAATTTGGTAGGACGCACCCCCCTTTCACTGGCCGAAATTCCAGTTTGGTATCAACATAATATAGTATTTTGCCATAAATTGTGTGTCTTGATTCGTGTATGATTGATGAAGGTATCCATATTAAAATCTATGAAAACTTTAACATTGACCATAACCTTTGAATATTTGGTGTGAGTGCTTTCATATTTCACATTCCTTCTAACAAGGCCATTCTTTGGATTCTAACATTTATGATCTCTTGACCTCTTGAGTTTAACCTACATTTGAAAAACCTTTCGCCAAACTCTAACACCATTCCAGCATCTTTTGGATATTTACTTTAGAGTACTTATGTGTAGAATTAGAATGATTTTTACCGAAGATTTCACATGATGTGAAATTTTACGAGTTCCGTATGATCATTAATGAAATTTTTAGGACATGACATTGAAAAATGACTTTGATAATGTCCATCTGTCCTATTTAAGATGGTGAATTGATTCTTACAAATTAGGTATGTATATATAGGTCTAAAGATGAATATGTATTAAATATAAATTTATTTTTTTCAATTTCACAACAGTTGATAATTTCTTTGCAATACGACACAAATAAATCGTATGTTGGTAGAATTGCATTGCAGGCCTACAGAAAAAAGATTAAAAACTTGAAAGTATGGACAAACTAAAAACATATATACCTTACAATATACATGTATATTCCACTTTATTAACGTTGTAACTGAATATCAATCGGGATCAGAATTCATATTATTGATTGCAACCGGAAACACATGTCAGACGTAAACATATTTTGATGATTTTCACTTCAGAATCTTAAAAATGCCCAAAGAACGTGTGTCGAAGAAATCAAGAGTACACCAAGATGTTCAAAAACAAGGTAAAGGAATGTTTCATTATTTTTTTTAGTATCAGTATGTCACTTTGTAAGGATTTAGTACATTTCATCTCCGAAGTGATGTACATTTTATGTAGAGAAACCATTTTAGTAGGAGTGGATATCGTCAGAAAAATTATATTGCTATATATTGCAATATTTGATGATATGTTGCGATATATTACATAGCTGTCCATTTGTCAAAAAGTTTGAAGTTAACTGGATAGACATGTATTTTATTCACTCAAGTTAAACCAAAATACCCACGCTTGGTTCTGATCGTTTAACGTCAGAGAATGTTAGCTGTCAACTGGATAAGTATTCCGGAATAATATTTAAAAAATTGTTGTTGATTTAAATTTACAATGTTATCTTCATGATATATATTAATCCTTTTTATTCCATTCTTAATTTTTAAACACTGTAGCAATGTTTATAACAAAAAACAAAAACAAAATCAAAGTACTGAAAGTACTACTACGAGTTGATGGTATTGATTATATAATGTTTAAATGAGTTTAGGTCTCTAGTCCATATATGGATTATATGATATTATGTGCATTGATGAAAACTATCACATTAAAATCATTTCTTTTTGTTTTCTTTGATAAATAAAATCATATTTTATTTACACCTTTTCCATCATGTATTCTTAACATGTATATTTATTTTTTTTAATATCTACTGGAATGTATAATAATTTATCACAGATCGAACCTTTAAACACAGAAAACAAATAATACTAAGTTAGTTTTGGGATTTTTCGTAAAATGACAATGTAGCTTACATTTAAACTAATTTGTATTTTTACAAAATATTAATGGATACCATCATTGAAATGGTCACAGAGCAGAGACTATCATCATTAAAACTACCGAGAATAGTTTTTGGGGAATCGATATCATTTGACAGAAATATTATATATCATGTGACTAGAACATTTCAAATAGGGAAAAAAGAATGGCACAACTGTTGTAAAATCATATTACAGAATTAAATTAACTAAGTAGACAAAAAAAAGTTTTAAACACACGTATCTCAAACTAATAGGCAAAACCTACAAATAGTATTACAAGTAGGGAATTATTATTTACAAATCACGCAGATTGAATTATTTCATTAACATGCTCATTGAATATTTTCACTGCTTTCTTAAATTGACAAACAATTCGACATTTTCAATGCACACCAATATGTTCCAATTCTCGTGATTAGGCCAGTCTTGAAATTCTTATCTTTTACTTTCATTTATATATGTATATCACATAATTTAATTTTCATGATTTAGTTACTATTGAAATTCAACTACTTGTCTTTCAAAATTTACACACATATGATATTTCAATTCTCTTGATTTAGCCACTCCTGAAATTCAACCCCCTGTCTTTTATGGTCATTGATATGCACAATAAATATTTTTAATTTTCTTGATTACGCTATACTCTTGAAATTGAACTTCTTGACATTTTTAACTTAAATGGTCATTTTATATGTCATTTCGTTTGATGTAGTCACTCTTGAAATATAACTACTTGACTTTAATTGATATGCACATTTTATATATCATTTCTCTTGGTTTAGCCTTTCTTGAAATTCAACTACTTGACTTTCATTGATACAAGTATGCACGTTAAAAAATTTCAATTCTTTCGGCTTTTCAACTGAAGACTTTAAATTGATCACAATGGCATGATATTGATTATTTACATGATCTATCTACTCTTGAATTAATTTGATTTCTTGATCTCTTCACATTTATAAATATGCATTTCACATTTAATTTATCTGTAACACCCCAATTATTATTATTTTTTTTTTTAAATTTATTGCCTTCAGTACTATTAATTCACTTTATAACATGGTCAGCATCTGATAGCAAAACACGGCTGGACATATTAAAGGAAACCACTTTCCAGTGTAGTGCCGACAATTAATGAGATAAGAATCACAGGCGTGTTAAGTGACCATTGCTGCATTTAAAGCTTCCTGTGAAACAGATCTAGATTGTGGAAGACAGTGTTTTTAACAGGGAAAAAGAAATTAGAGCACAAAATTGTCTGCTGCTAAAAAAATCTAACCCTTGTAGCAATCGAAATCTTTTATTGCTTGCACAAGAAATAGGAACTTTAATTTCAAAATTGTTTTTATTGGCACAGCTCATTTCTTCCGTTTGAGATTAGTAATTGATTTACTTCGACCTTCTTTACTGCAAACTTCTCACTTTGTTTACAAACATAGGCAGTGTTCTCTGTATTGAATGATTCATCACTAACGCGGGAAAACTGCTCTGTTCATTAGCATAACAGCGCAAGAATAAGTTTATTTATAAACCACCAGCACGTCAATCTATTAAAAATAACCTGGTTTGTACCATATTCAATTTTGTGAATTTTCTTTAAAAATCTGTTTTCAAAATACTTCTTATTATATAAAACATGTATTGGTTTATAAATCAAAATTTTGTTTGCACGACATGTAACTTTTGTTGACCGCATGTCCCTAACACTATTTTCTTTTGCGGATGGACACAAATTCCAATAAAATTAATAATAACTACATGTGTATTTACGTTTATAAACACTTCAAAGCATATCAGGAAACATATTCTTGTTCTGTAGATTATTAAAAAATGTAAATAAACCAATATTATACAAGAACCCGTACGCAAAATACTTAAACAAAAATGTGATTAGTTTCGATACATTGGGGAATCCCTTACAAGTCACATAACATGAGTTGATACCATCAACTCGTAAAAACTTTAAAGTCACAGAGTAACTAAGTTTTGAATTCCGATACACCATATTTATGTAATACTTCAGGTTAGCATATCGTCAATATTGGTATTGAAAAAAAAAATTGCAATATATTATCTTTGGGTTTAATATTGCAATATACCGATATATTGGTAATATTGCACACCCCTACATTTTAGAACTTTGTTTGTTTGTGTCCTTTTGTTTGTGTCCTTTTTATGGCCCCAGATCGAAAGATCCTGGGGGTATATTGTTTTTGTCCTGTCTGTCTGTTTGTCTGTTGTCAACTTTAACCTAGCCCATAACTATTGCACTGTCAGGGATAAGGCTTTAATATTTTACATGAGTGTTCATTATGACAAGACCTTTCCATTGGTACAGAAATTTTTGATCATGTGACCTCAACTGTGACCTTTGACCTACATTTGAAAAACTTAAACATTGGCCATAACTATTGCACTGTAGTCTACGTCCCACTCCAGAATTGTGTTACCATCGGGGGCATAGTGTTTCACAAACACATCTTGTTTTTTTTTTTTTATCTGAATCTATTTCATTATGTTGTAAATAATTCAGGTCTTTGATTATTATACAGTAATAAGAGTTTTCCAAAGCATTTTGATCAGTTTTAACAGGTTTGCCCTAATATATATAATAGCCTCTAGGAATTACTTTTCCTGTATACTATCACTGACAAGGTCTTATAAATGCACTGGTATTATGTTGACGGTGTGACCATGAGGGCAAGCGCAGATACCTAGTCAGTTTAAATTTAGTTTAGATCGGTCTCTTCAAACTGCACATGACATCTGGTACGTCTAGACTCTGACGTTACATATGTAAGTTGCAATACCAAAATGAAGTCTGAACAGTGCTAATTTAATAAAATATGTTTAATCTTCTATTTATTTGTAATATCCATTAAATCAAGGTGAGTTAATTTTTTTATTGAACTTTTGTTGTTATTGCGAGAACGTAGCTAGTGGTGAGATGCAATTCGCAAAGGATTGTGGGTCCAGAGGTTACTGTGGAAAAAAAATTCATTTGGATAATGTGCTAAGTTTGAATTATCTCTTCACCAAGGTGTTGTCGTTAGACCTCGCAGTGCAGGTTACACTTCGTGCCACTCACTGCACTTGTTATTACTAAGCCATGAAAAAATAATTTCTATATTTTTATGTATTTGTAATTTTGTGTATTTTGACCATATGATTTAGGATGAAAATATAGTTAAACTAACATTCTCTAGAAAATTCACATTAACACATATATTGAGATCAAGCATTACACAAAACATGTTGTTAAACTAAGACCAACATTAATGATCAACAGACCTCAAATGACCCCATGTGACATGCTTTCAATGAACAGGTGAGCCTTCTGAAAAACCATATGCTTTTGTGAATCAAATTCTACTGACATCAGATTTAACATCCTGTCAATTCTCCACATGGCTTTGATCAATGAAAACATTTTTTAATTTTTATTGTTTACAAATTATATTAAAAAATTATATACAGAAGAAAAAAAAAGTCTTAAGTAATGATAAAAATCCAATTGAGTGCCACATTTGATGCATCCACGTCTGATCCACTTATGTCTGATGCACTCATACTATCCACTCCATAAAACTTCAACATGATGCAGCTTACTAGGACCATGCACACTGCACTATGTCACAAAGTTTTTGATTCCTGCATCCATAATTGACCAAAGTGCTAATGCTGAACCACAGGAAACCCATCTTCCAAATAACATCTGACCTCAGCTTAGAGTACAGATTGCCACCATATTGTCTGTCCAATAGCAATGCAAGGTATTATTATGCTGGAAACCTGACTGGAGATTCAGTCACCACAAACAAACTTATGAACAAACTATACTACACATCAATGGAGATTACTGTGGAGCTACAGTCACTTGTATTAGAAAAACATGTACCACTCAGACAGAACAAACAGCACCTTATATAAAGTCTAGCCAAACATTAAAATCAAACTGATTGATGAAGCACATTATTTCAAAACTTAAAGGATCAACAAGAGATCATCAGATGATAGGAATAATGAGAAACAAAGCACAGTTATAATACAAAATGCAAAAGTTAAAATTAAAATTGATTATGACACTGGCCCTTGCTTACACTTTGTGATTTATTTCTTAATATTGATGGAGAAGGGATGGAGTTCGGGGGTGAGGAGAAATCTACCTGATTTGAATCAGTATAAGTTGTATATTAGTTACCCACTCTTCAATGAAAGATTTTTTTAAATTTTTGTTTTTTTTTTCTTTTCAGGAATTAATTTTAACAAAGAATTTGGTCAACATATCCTGAAAAATCCCTTGGTGGTGAATAGTATGATAGAGAAGGTAACTGTACAGTTTGGTTAATACATGTAAAGACCCAAAGTAACTCAAAAGAGACTCGTTATTAAAAAGAACAAAAAAAAAAAGAAGATATTAACAAATATAGAAAGAAATCAGTGGTTTTTTAAGGAATAGTTGTAGACTATTAAAATGAATATCTGATGCAGTCTTCATTAAAAAAAAGGATAAAGTTATACCTTTTGCCAATGCCTGATGTAGTCTGCCTGTATTTGAAGTGACTAGAAGCGAATATGCACTTGAAATGAACATAAACTTGAGGAAGAGATGATTAGTGTGTGAGAGCTAGACACTCTTTTTATGTTTGAGATTTGCCAAGTAAAACCTGAGGAGAACACCAGAATGCCCAAAGAAAGTGTTCCCCCTACAAGTACACATGTACAGTGAAATGTGGTCCATAGTGAAATACATGTATGTAATTCAGTTCAAATGCATGCTCAATCAATCACATTATGCAAACTATGAAAAGCAACGATTTTCATTCTTTAAAACAAATATTACAAACTATATTGTTTTGGCAACCTAGCAGTGGATATAATCTCAGGTTCGAATGAATGTTAAAATAGAAGAAAAAAAACCAAGATAGTGAGTATGATTTGGGGGGGGGGGGGGGGTGGTTACTGATGTTTGTAGTAGTGCCAAGAAATTGGTACACGTAACAAAAAATTGGGTAGTGGTCTGCATTTTCTACTCACTTGGAGAAAAGGAAACTGTTATATCTTTGTACTCTTTGTACTTATAAGGCACTTTTGGATTAAAGATATGAACTATTGTATTATTGAGTGGGTCTCTGGCAGTAATAAGACCTTCTTTCTCTTTTGGCAGTGTTTCTGTTTAAAGAGGTCTGAACTTCTTATTTCTGTAGATCTTGCATGCTGTTAAAATGACCTCTTCACATTATGTTCCAGAAAAGTAATAATTATTGATTTATCTGAAATCAAAGATCGTGTGAGAGAACTTTTCCTTATAGAGGCACACTCCTTGGATTAGACTGATTAAGAAAGATTTACCTGCAATTGTTTAAGATGTCAATATACAGTTGTTAAATTTTCTTCAAGCACTGTTCAGAAGTTTGACTAGAATGGAGTAGGATTTCATGTTTCACTCTCTTTTGTTATCTTCTTGGAGCAGAACTGTAATGCATTTCACTCGTGACAGGATGTAATACTTTTGGGTGCTTTTCATCATAAATAAAGATTGACAAGACTTATCATATTGATTAGTATTAGTTTGGATAGAAACACAATAATCCCCCAGAATATATTGCTGACATGGGGGTTTTGAGTAAACTTAAGGGATTTTTTTAAAAAATCCATAGATAGATATTTCTGTCCATCATGCAAAGAACTCTGCAGTTTTAACTATGAAACAATTCTGTGATTTATTTTTGAACACCAATTTTTTGGTTTTTTTGGTTGTTGACTCAGATCATGATGCTGTCCATGAATTTAAAGGTCAACAAAATTGTATTCTTCAGGTCAAAACCACAACAAATTCTCACGATAATTTATGAAACCACAGTATTAAGACAGGAAACTTCGTCACTTGATTTAAACGTAACAATTCAGACAGTTTATTTTCCCAGAAGAAATTTGGGAACAAATTGTTTTTACAGTCTCTTTAAAATTTCTCCAGTATTTTTTTGTCCCTAAGTTTTATTGGAAATAACTTATCCAATTGAGGTGAAACCTTTTTAGTGTTAACAGGCATGTTGTGTAGATGTGCGAAACTAAGGTCATTTTGCCCGCACATGCATGCGCTTGCGATGAGTGAAATGACAGATATAATTAAAATGTTTGCAAATCGGTTTATAACATTGTACCAGTAGTGTAGACAAGTTGATATGGATTAATACTATGAAAGCAGGTGCATGCATGTATGCTTTGTTCTGATTGTCACAAAAATCTCAAACTTTTTTGCTTTTTGACAAAATGCTTGAAATTTACAATAAAGGTATCAACAGGTAATATGAGCTTCTATCATAAGGTATATATGAAAATTCTTGAAAATACACATTTTTAATGTATGCTGCAATTTGATTAGCGGAGATTTGAATATATGGCTATAACTTTCTTAAATTTCAACAAAACAAGAAATTTAGAATATAGATAAATATAATTGTTCCTATTATGACATTTGAATGCAAGGACAAGAATGCAAATATGCTGAATTCTGATCAGCTAATACTTGATGGTTTTCTCTTATTTGTCAATTAAATTCTTTGATATGTAACACAAAAGTATATACATGTAATGCGAGACACTATAAGAAGATATATTCTAGAGAAATCTGAAAAAAGGGGAAAAAAAACCCATACATATGCTTGTGCGGTGAAAACTGATTGGCTAATACTCATACAACTATACCATTGTTGTTTTCAGATAAAATACTTAGGAAAATAATGTGTAGATTTATAATACAAAAGTATTGCCTAGTTTAATGAAGCTTGTAGGGGATTGGGTACCAAAAAAGAGTGAGGGAGCCATTTGGAGAACATCTTTAACAGTTACCGGTACAATTAGCTCTAGTCAATTTTGATGCAAAAAATAGACAGATTTATTCTAATAAAAAAAAATTCTTTACTTCTATAGTGATTGGTTTGCTATGTAAAATCCTGTGGAATAGCAATGAAACATGCTTTACATCATAAGAATGTATTACAATGTACAACAAAAAGTTACTGATCATCAAAAAGAGTGAATACTAGTACATGTTCCAAGAATGAATTTCTTAAGGTCAAAAAGATACACATACATGTATAAGCAATTGCCTTAGTTTGTTTTTATACTACCTCTATTTTTGATCCCAGTAGAACAAAAGCATTCAATTCATAGCATTAAATTTTTATTTTAAGTGTCTCTTCAATCAGCTTACGCATTTTCTTATGGTGATTGATAGATTCTACATCTTTCAGCAAATTTATTGTCAAATAGGTTTTCATTTTTGATCATTTTTCAAGGAAAAAATGAGACATGCCACTCATAGCATGGAAATCAATCAAAACCCTGTGGTTTCCATGACAACATCTCTGGATATCAAATTGTGCCTATATTTGCTGAAGTTAATTGTATGTATGAAGATTGGATTTCTTATACACAGAGATGCCATTCTAGAAAAATGCCATAAAATGGGTTCATTACGAATTCTGCTCTGTTCGTGAACAAAAAGATCAATAGCGTCACAGCCCAAAGGGACTCCTTCGTCCAAGTTAGAGTCTAATGATAATGCATTTAATGTAAGAGACCAGACCCCATTTGTCCCAGGAATGTGGTTCAAATAAGGAGCATATTGTTCCACCGACTGAAGTTGATGGAGCTTTGATTGAGCTTACGGTCATCATCATCAACAGTTTTCCATATTTCCAAAGTAATATCATGAATAGCAGCATTATGCGACTATTACTAAAGGCAATTAATTCAATGTTTATCAATTTTTCAAATACTTAATGGACTATTTTAGAAACTGGTTTGTTTCTAGTTTATTATATGGAAAGATGCAGTGTGTCATTAAAGGAAACAATTAATCTGTGATCATGGTGATGTCACATCAGTTTTATGCAAGAAGAAAGATAAAGAGTTAATCAGTTTATATGTGATGTTGCTCTTCTGCACCAAAAACAAAAAAAACAAAACAAACAAAAACAAAAACAAAAAAAAAAGAAAGAAAGAAAAAAAAATAGAATCTCAGCTGTGAGAGAGCTGGATTCATTACGATGATGATAGATTAGGGCCTCCTATAATCATTAGCAAACCACAAATCAGTTTGATTTCTGACATTTCATCAATATTAGTTACAATATAAACCACATGTAAAATTCCTAAGAATAGTAGGCTTACAGATAAAATAACCTTTATAAAAAAGATGTCAACACATGTTGAATTTTTTCCAATTTTACTTTATTTTCATACATGGATTTATTTAAGTTAACATTTTTGCAATGTCATGTTCTGGATTGTTTTTTACAAAAGTGACAGCAAGAGTTTACTGGTAGAAGATGCACAATGTTTTGTAGGGAGAGCCCTTTGTTTTTCCTCTTAATTAAATATGCTAGTTAACTAGTATAAATGTATTATATCTTCATCCATCTTCCTTTTATTACAAGTGTCACTTCTAAATGGAAGCCCTCATTGTCTATCTAGAATAAAGAATTTAGAAACGCAAACACGTATGCAGATGAAGAAAACTTAAACTAGCTACGTACATGTAACTTGAAAAGGATTTGGTTCCAACTAGATACAAACTAATTCATTTAAGAATCATGGTTAAAAAAAGGCATATAATAAATATTTATATATATAGAGATATCAGTCACATATAAAACAGTCTGGTTGGCTTAGACACAGAATTTAAACATACTTGCTAGATTGTCATCATAAGTATTGTATAATTGCTAAAGTTAAAGCACCAGTAATTTGATGGTGATAGATGAGTGCACGGTGTTGAATGCATTCATAGCACTTTTTGTAGCCAACCCCAAGGTAAAATATTGTGATGCACTTGTAATACAAAGAAATGTCAAATCTCATTTAAAAATGGGTGTTCCCAAGGTCAGTATTTTGTCAATGTCAAACTCAATGATCTCTGAAGAATTACATAATCAATCTGACATCTAAGTATAGTATTATAGATATATTTGATACACATGGAATATGACACATTTTATGAATTTGGGTTCAATGTCTGTTCGCCTTCTTTACCTAATCATTTAAATAATTTTTTTCTTGGTGTTGGGGAAGAGGAGAAATTTAAGTATTCAATCCTTAATGTGCTAAAGAGCATGCCAAAATTTTATACATAACATGACGTTAAGTGTGCATGTGTTAGAAGTTTATTGAAGTTTTGTAACACTTCGTTCAACATATGCTGTACATATTTCATCCTTCAATGGCTAAGAGTTTGCAGCTTGCGATCACTGCATCTACATAACTGCAAGAATTATGTTGTAAAGAATAGGATCATACCATGTAGATTGAAGAGTTGTGTTCTTCTGTAGATTTTGCATAAAAAAATTCTACTTACTTTGTTTCAAGTAGATGAAAATACTTTGTTAAAATTTGTAGTTTGGAAAATCTTTTCTGCCTCTCAAAAGCATGTCAAACTGTTAGATACAGGTGTGTTCAATATTTCGTGGAAAGATATAGACTTGTGTGTAGTTACTTGACAGCAGATCTTGGTTAAGTAAACCAACTTATTAATATAGCAATATATATAAACTGTAATGGTAAATAGAATTATAAAAAAGCTGTGAACTGCTATGATTTTTTTTTTGTAGTCTGCACTTCGTCCAACAGATGTTGTCCTGGAGGTAGGGCCAGGGACAGGTAACATGACAATGAAGTTACTGGAGAAGACTAAAAAGGTATAGACAAGTGTATCTGTCCCAGGGTACCAACATCATCACTTTTTTGCATTATAACTGAAAATAAATGAATTCCTGAGATTTCAAACTAGGTTTGAGCAAAAGATCAATTTTTCCCCCAACTTTCTGCTTTGATAGAAACTCTCTAGTTCAACTAGTGTATTGACAATTTCAAAGTCTACAGGGATTGATTCATTGAACATTAGAAAAGTGGCCTCCATTTTTGGAAAGGAATCCATCATAATTCCTCATTTTTGTTGCTTAATTGCCATCATTAATGTAATGATATAGAATATGAACATAATTAATCATGCATCACACTCGGTTAGTCTCTGGAAATAATGATGACTTTCTTGCACATTTGACAGGAATTTACATTCTAATTTTCTGTAGATTTTGAAAAATGTCATATGCATTTGTTTCAAGTTGTATGTATCTAGTTTGTCTGAAACTGGTTTGGAAATGATGAAACTTAAATGTTTAAAGATGTTTTCTTTGAAAACAAGTCAAAATTTATTTGCTGTCATTTAATACTTGGCGGAACACTCATGTTGTACAGACTATAATAGAGTAGAACAAGGTCTTATTCAGGGCCACAGTTACTGTTTCCTGAGCATACAATTTTTCTAAATTTTAGATTTCTATTGAACTTTTTGTATCATACACTATTTCAAAGACAATTGTCCTTTATATTCAATGAATGTTTGATCTCAATTAAAAAAAAGGGGTTTAATATCTCCTAATGGCAAAGCCTTCACAAGCCTTTACAAGCAATGCTTGTCCCTTAAAACATTCTAGACTTTATAATGCTCTTGTTTTCCAAAGTTTTCATATTTTGATAGGTAATAGCATGTGAAATTGACCCACGACTGGCAGCCGAGTTACAAAAAAGAGTTCAAGGAACGTAAGTTTTCATGTAGTAGCACCAGTACTCACACTGACTTCTTCCTTTGTTGTTATACTGTTTGATAAATTGCACACAGTTATTGAATAACACATTCCATAGAGAATGTTAAAAGTTATGAAATTTTCAAATATTCTTGGGCTTTAAAATTACTAAATCAAAACAAAAAAAGATTGGGAATTTTAATTAAAAATTTGAACTTCTCCCACCTCTTGAGTATAGAGAGCTGCACTTAAAATGTATAAACCCTTGTCTTATGCTAGTACTTAACAGGAGGAAAATAGCATGGTTTTAGGATTCCCTTTGTTTTCTGTCTCAATTTTGTCTCCATTAAAATTTTAAAAAAGAAAAATTGTGAATAGGGATTTGTACAATTTATATATAATTATTCAAGACTTAATTGTTACTTGTTGCAGATTCAAATAGACTAAAAATTGATTTGAAATCTGATCTAATCTAATCTGATCTGCAATAAATAACAATTTAAGTTGTGCTTGAGTTTGACTGCTGAAAGGATGTGTAACCACTGGTAATCAGTGTATAAAATAATGATGTCTTTCTAGTGAACATATTAGTAACTTCTGACATTGAGCATTTATAATATTTTCTAAACAAGGGGCCCATGGGCCACATTGCTCACCTGAGCACATTGGCTAGGAAAAAGCATAAATCAGTTCAGTATTGAAAAGTTTACATGGGGGGGGGGGGGCTCGAATTTTAAACTACCTGAGGATACTTCCATATCAGTATAACAAATGGCTTTGCTGTTCTTGAGCAGAAGTTATTTTTTCCTATTTATTTTTGTAAAAATTTGACCCCCCATTGTGGCCCCATCCAACCCCCGGGAGTCATTATTTGAACAAACTTGAATCTACACTACTGGAGGATGCTTCCATATTAATATTACTAAACATCCCTCTTTTCTTGAGAAAAAGATTTTTTCCTATACATTCCTATGTAAAACTTTGATCCCCCATTGTGGCCCCTCCCTACCCCTGGGGTCATCATTTGAACAAACTTGAATCTACACTGCCTGAGGATGCTTCTATATAAATATTACCAATCATGGCTTTGCTGTTCTTGAAGATTTTTTCAAATGATTCCTATATATTTCTGTGTTAAACTTTGATCCCCCATTGTGACCCCACCCTACCCCAGCGGTCATGATTTGAACAAATTTGAATCTATAGTACCTGAGGATGCTTCCAACTCAAAATGACTTATCATGGCTCTGCTGTTCTTGAGAAGATTTTTTAAAGTTTTTCCCTATATGTTCCTATGTAAAACTTTGGTCCCCCATTGTGGCCCACCCTACCCTCATTTGAATCTACACTATGTAAAGAAGGTTGTCTGTAAGTTTCAACTTTTTTGGCCCAGTGGTTCTTGAGAAGAAGATTTTTAAAGGATGCTACCAAATGTTCACTATTCTGAATTATCTCCCCTCGAATGTGGGCATGGCTCTTCATTTGAACAAACTTGAATCCCCTTCACTCAAGAATGTTTTGTGGCAAGTTTGGTTGAAATTGGCCCAGTGATTCTGGAGAAGAAGTTGAAAATGTGAATAGTTTACAGAAGGACAGACAGACAGACTACAGACAAAATGTGATCAGAAAAGCTCATTTGAGCTCTCAGCTCAGGTGTGCTGAAAAGGAATTTCCATTTGAAGGAGGAAAAAAAAAACTAGAAGTATGTCCATAGCACACTAATGCCCTGCCCAGAATTCATTAGAAATGTAACATGAAAATTTGTATAAGGGTATGAAGTTTGATGAGAATACCTTGAATAATTTCTTTAAAACTGAGTTTTATACAAAATAAATAGTAAAGTCAAAGGTCATTGGGAAGGTCAAGGTAAAAAACAAAATTGGACACAGTTGATGAATTCTCACCAAAATATGTATTAGTGCATAAGTTTACATAAATATATCTTGAATAGTTTTTCTGAAAGTTAGCTAAGTACAAAATTTAAAAATATTTAGGTCAAGGTAAGGAAAGGTCAAGGTCAAAAATGTGTTGATGCAGTTCAAAAGCACTCATCAATATGTATCAGCAAATAAAGTTTGATAAAAATATCATGATTTGTTTCTTATAACTGAGCTAAACAAAAATTTGAAAAAAAGGGAAGTCAAGGTCAAAGGAAAGGTCGAAGTAAAAAAAAATGTTGATAAAGTTAAATAGATCTTGACAATGTGTATCTGTCAACATGAACGGTTTGATAAAAATAGCTTAAATAGTTTCTTTGAAACTGAGCCAAAAAGTGAGTCAAGATCAAAGGAAAGGACAAGGTCAACAAATGTTGATGCATGCATTGGAATAACTCTCATCAATATGTCACATTAGGAAGTTTGATATAAATATCTTGAATAGTTTCTTTGAAATGTAGCTAAACACAATTTTATGAAATATGTGGTCAGGTTCAAAGATAAGGTAAAGGTTAAAAAATGTTGATAAAGTTGAATTGTTCTTGTCAATATGTATCAAAATAAAAGGTTTGATAAAAATATCTTTAATACTTTTGTTTGAAACTAAGCCAAGCAATAATTTTAGAAAAAGTAAGATCAAGGTCAAAGGAAAGGTCAAGGTCAAAAAATTTTGATGCAGTTTGAGTAATACTCATCGATATACAATAGCATATGAAGTTTGATAAAAATATCTCAAATAAATTCTTTGAAACTTAGCTAAGCTAAAATTTAAGAGAAGTGAGGTCAAGTCTGAGGAAAGGTAATAAAAATTGATGAATTTGAAAAGCCCTCATCAATATGTATATCAGCATGTAAGGTTTGATAATAATAGCTTAATAAATAATTAAGCAACTAAACACAATTTTTTTTGAAAAGGTCAAGGTCAAAAAATGGTGATGAAGTTGAATTGCTCTCTCCAAAATGTGTCTGCATATGAGGTTTAATAAAAATATCTTGAATAGATTCTTTGAAAATTATCTAAACACAAGTTTTATGGAAAGTGAGGTCAGGGTCAAAGGAAAGGTCAAGGTCAAAAAATGTTGATGCACTTGAAAAACTCTCATTAATATGTATCAGCACATAAGGTTTTATAATAAATATTTTGAATAGTTTCTTTGAAACGTAGTTAAACACAAAAAAGTGAGGTTAAGTAAGGTCAGAGGAAAGGTCCAGGTCATAAAATGTTCATGGTGATGTGAATAGTCCTCATCAATATGTATCAGCATATAAAGTTTGATAAAAATATTTTGAATACTTTCCTACAAACTGAGCTAAATGCAAATGATGGAAAGACAGACGGAATGACAGAAGATTGACATGGCAAACACTATTTGCACCGGCCATATTCATGGCGGGGCATAAATAACCACCCCCAAAACCATAGTATTTTTCAGTATGATTTTTTTCTTCTGCTGTTTAGGCCATACCAGACCAAACTCCATCTGATAGTCGGTGATGTCCTGCGAACTGAACTACCGTTCTTTGACATCTGTGTAGCTAATCTGCCGTACCAGGTAACAATAAATTTCCTGACAAAAATTTTCTGAAAGGAAATCTATTCTAAAACATCAGGGATCTGAATGTACTAGATTATCAAATTAACATATCCAACAATGTCAGAAAATTTTAAATGCACAAGATTTATAAGAATGAAATATTGATTGTTGAAGGTTTATTTTACTATTATTGTATTTCCAGATATCCTCTCCGTTTGTTTTCAAGTTGTTGCTACACAGGCCATTCTTTAGGTATGAAATGATGACTTCTCCTCTTCTATATTGAATACAATATTGTATATTTCATTCAGGTAAATCCACAAAGAAAACAGATATAAATGGGTGTTAGAAATTTTTAAAGATTCACTTTAAAATGCCACAAAGATTTTATTTCTATTACTGTGGAAACTGCTGACATCCATGAATAATGCTTAAAAAGTGCAAACCATAGAAGGTAGTTTTAACCATAATTTTGTGGGTTTTTTTCTGGCAGGTGTGCTGTATTGATGTTTCAGAGGGAGTTTGCCCAAAGACTGGTAGCACGGCCTGGTGATAAGTTATATTGTAGGCTTTCAGTAAATACACAGCTGCTGGCACGGGTCGATCATTTAATGAAGGTCTGTTGAAATTTTGCATAGAAAGTTTTACATTGTTACCCGGTGTGTAAATTAATCATACCAAGTTTTTATTTCAAAGTGACTTCAAAGCTAAAAGACATCATTTTTTTTTCAGTTTTGTACATTTTTAATCAATGGCTATGAAAATTAGATTTACATGTACAGTCAAATCTCACTATCTTGAACTTGACAGAACCAAGATTTAACAGAGATACCGGTATCTGAGGTTTTGAGATAACAAAATTTAAACACTTATAGAAAAAGTGGTTGGGACTACCAAATCATTTTGACATATCCCTGGTATCTGAGATATTAATGTTCAAGATAATGAAGTTCAACTGTATATTTAAAATTAATTTTAAAAAATATTCCATGTTCTTGTAAATAACAGTTACACATATGTACAATATTAAACAGGTTAGCAAAAACAACTTTAGACCACCTCCAAAAGTTGAATCTAGTGTTGTCAGAATAGAGCCAAGGAACCCACCTCCTCCCATCAATTTTCAGGTACATAATGCATTTAATTGAAATGTTATCTCCTATGTGGCAATAATAAAAAGGGAACAACTTTAAATTTAGAATTTCCCTAATGATAGGGAAAAAAATTGGTCATCTACTGGTTAGGGCCAAAGATAATACTAAAGTTGATCTCTACCAGACCTCAATATTATTAGGGGTAATTTACTTCTTAGAGGATACCAGTGTCAAAACTGATCTCTGTAAAGCAGATATTCTCAAGACACTGAGCTGACAATGTCTTCCTTTGTGTAATGTCTAAGCTGTTTGACACTTGAGCTTGTGACCACAAAATCAACAAGGGACCAGTGTACCAAGTTTGATGTCTGTCAGGATCCTTGACTCAAGGAAAGGGTGCATTCAATACCATTCTATGTCTAGTTTGACCCCAACCTTTCACCTTGAGACCTCGTAAACAATAGGGGTTAATTACTCCTGAAGGAGAATCAGTGTACCAAGTTTGATGTCTGTCAAGCAAAGGGTTCTCATGATATTGAGCATACAATATATTCTTATGTCCAGTTTGATCCTTGTCTTTTGATTTTGTGACCTCTAAATCAAAGGGGTCCTTAAGGGGGGAACCAGTGTACCTAGCTTAGTGTCTGTCAAGCAAAGGGTTCTTAAGATATTGAGCGGTCAAGACTAGAGTAGTTTAACTCTTGACCTTGTAACCTCAAAATCTACCGGTACAGTGGTCAATTACTCTTAGGGGAAACTAAGTTTCATGTGTATCAGGCAAAGGGTTCTCAAGATATTGAGCTGTCGATCTCTTCCTATGTCCAGTCTGACCCTTATACTTTGACCTTGTGACCTCAAAAACAATTGGGGTCATCTACTCCTTAAAGGGAACCAGTGTATTTTAAAAAGTTTGATGTCTGTCAAGCATAGGGTTCCAAAGATATTGAGCAGTCAATATATTTCTATGTCTAGATTGACCTTAACCTTGACCCTGTGACCTTAAAATCTACAGTGTTCATCTACTAGTCAATTGGAACCAGGGTACCAAGATTGATGTTTGTCAGTCTCTATCAAAGGGTTCTTACGATATTGAGCATACAAGATCTTCTTTTGTCTAGAATAGTTTGACCTCTAACTTCGTAACCTCAAAATCAGTAGGGGTCATATACTTTTAAGAGGTTACCAGTGCACCAAGTTTGATGCCTGTCAAGTAAAGGGTTCTCAAGATATTGAGAGGACAACATTTGGTCTACTGACCAACTGACAGGTGCAAAGCAATGTGCCCCACTTTTCCAGGAGGGCACAAAAAAATCATTTGAAATATTTTATTTGCATAAATCATTTGATATTATTGTTAAGATTTTAAAGCCATACTACACATAAGTAATGTATACTTAATTCTTCAAGACTGGGAAAAGTCTATTCAGATATGTTGTCATAGGCAATAATCGGTAGCCAATTTAAGCAATGTACGAGGGTTGTTAGAAAAGTTCGCGGACAAGTTCTATTGTGAGCGCGCTATTTCCATGAAACCGGTTAAACTCTCCAGATAAAAACTTTACCTATTTTCCAATAAATATACAAAGATTTGTTGTTTTCCGGTGATCCTTAAAAAATATACAGCTATATTATTTTGATAAAACATGCTTCACGGAGCATGCTACTTTTTCGCACGTATACATTACATAGACTTTTTATTGAAATTAAAAATTGCACAGTTGTAGCGCAGAAAGAATTATGATATTTTACCTGTCGCTACAGTATTAATAAAACGTCACTTGCCGAAATTTTGAATTAAATTGGAGGTTGTATGACTGTTTTATAGCCATTTACAAATAATCAACGCGTAAAAACAAAGCCAAGAATGGGAACGTCATTGAACGTCATGGAGCACCGAGCTACTAAAAAATTATATTTGCAGACAGGAAAATGTCTAAAAATAGACTAAAATGCTTCTAGATGTTGCTGAAAATTGCCTACATGTACAAAGGACAAAAGTATTCAAATGGTAGTAGCTTTTTCAGAATGGAAGGATTAACATTTTTAATGATCAACTCCATCGATACCTCAATACCCCACTTATCGCCTATGGATTTTGCATTGTTTCCATATCTGATCTCTTAACTGCGATCTCACTAATATCCGAAATAGCACAAAAGACTTTATAGAAGAAAAGTAACATGTCTTGATATAGATATTTAATTTTTAAGTAGAAAAAAGACGAGAAAAGTCGAAAGAAATGAAAGATATTTAGAACTATGAAAAAGCTTAATGGGTTTGAAATCTGTTTGTCACTTCACTTAACGTCGAGTGATTGCTCCGTGAATCCTATGACCGCATAGTAAAAATTGTTGTAAATTTTCAACGTTTTAGTAAATGGACCTGATTTTTTACATACTATTAAACAAAAGATAGGAATTTAATCAGACATAAGTCATACTTCACAGTACACAATAGATTTTCCGTAAATCAATGTGTCCGCGAACTTTTTTAACAACCCTCGTATTAATTTTGTATGCAAAGATTGTTAATATTCAAATTTAAATTGCTTTTCTTTTACTCCATTGAATACAGGCATAATTATACTGAATATATGTTTTTAATATAATGTTATATTTTCAGTCTGTTTGCCCAAAATTGTTTTTCCCTCCATTTTAATTTCTAGGTTTTCTGTCTTAGTTCTGTTTATTTTACCATGAATAAATACAATAATATGATATTCATTACATATATAAAATGACACAATTTTCTCTAGCATCTTTGTAATGTTTTCAGTTAGATTTGGTAAAAGCTGATCCTTGTAAGTCGTTTTTTATCATTGCTTTAAAAGTATATGTGTCTTTTTTTGGTAGGAATGGGATGGACTCGTAAGGATCTGTTTCTCGCGGAAAAACAAAACCTTGGGGGCTTCTTTCAAGTATGTACATTTTTACAACATTGCATTATGTAGTTCACCATATGTATTACAATATACAAAAGGAATTATACTGCAGTGTGAAAGTTACTGTTGTGTTGAGGACATGGAAATATTGTATTCAACAGGTTTTCCAAAGTGCTGGAATTACTGGAGAAGAATTATAGGACACACTGTTCTCTGAAGTCTATTGTAAGTAGCTGCAGTATTTGTAGACATTGTCAAATAGGAAAAAGCTAAGTAGTGCTATTTTAGATTATAACGACTGATTGAAGAATTTGGCAAAGTAATTGCAATTTTATTTAATTACTTTGTGTAATTGACCCCATCCCTGAAAATATATATTGGTTTTTAATTCATTATTTTTTATTCATGTAGCCTGTAGCCCCTGATTTTGATGTAAAGGAAAAAGTTTCAGAAATATTAGAGAAAGAAGACTTTGACAAGAAACGAGCTCGGTCAATGGACATTGATGACTTTCTGGCGTAAGAGCAATTTATCAAAATAGCAATTCATCAAAATAACTTATCAAATCAATTCTTGGTGATTTTGCCATTTACACAAATAGTTATTTCATTATTTTTCAGATTGCTAAATAGTTTTAATACAGAAGGATTTCATTTCTCTTGAGACCATCTTCAAAACAAAAAAATGTGCAGCACCAAGTCTTTCATTGTTGAATCACATGACTCCAGTGCACTTTTCATTTCTGCATCAGAAAAATAGATCTTCTGTCTTTTAACAGTGCTCAGAAGATTGTGGAACCAAAACAACTAGGCATTAAGTTATATACTCTGTGATGTTACACTGTGTGTAAAACTGATGAATATTACCTATCATTCAGTAACAAGTATTTGTAGGGAAAAAGATGAAATCATTTACATGCATTTGATATGAAAACTTTTTTTTTTAACTAGCAATCATTCATTTTTACATCTTCCTTACAATTTCCGTTAAAGGCTGAGAAAGAGAGAAAGAAAGCAAGTTCACAGTTGAAACATAAGCAAATTATCAGAAAAGTGATACATATTTTTGTTGGTTGAAATGAAATTATGTAATAAAACAATATTGAAAGTAAGTTTTGATTTTTATTTTTCATGAGAAATCACTGTGTATTCTTTTACAAAATGTTCCTGGAATCGTGATTTGTTGACGAGGAGAATAAAACATGGAGTACCAGCTTCAACCAACACCCTGCAAAAGAAAGGGAGATAAAAATGTGGATTCACTTTGATGTATACTGGAAAACTAATTCTTTATGTTATGAAGTAATAATATTCTCATCTAACATACAGAAATAGATAAAGATTTGTGGTAGAAAAAATTGTTTATTTGGGTAGAATAAAAAAACAGTCCACAAACGATACAGATGTAGTGAATTTGAAATAAATCTTCAATATGGAGATGATAACTTGCCATTTATTTTTAAGAGCTTGCAATAAAGTCCAAGATTGTGGAATCTGGTGTAATGTTGTCTTCTCCTTGTCTTCATAGTATATCTGAAGTACATATAAACACATTCAAGATAGATTACGGTTGCATACATATATGGGATCCATATCCTTAAGCTGTAGTTTTCATAACATCAAAAATTTATCATCAAATTTGTAACAGTAACTACAGTATTTTATCTTATTCTTTTATTTTTTGATCCATAATACTTAAAATATACAACTTGCATACATGTTGTATATAAAAGAAAAAAAAAGTTTACCAATAAATTTTCTGGTTTGTATTTTTTGTCAAGATCCCAAGAAGCAGGGGGAGCTTCTGGACCAAACATATGTATGATGTGATCTTGAAATCTGGAAGGAAAGAATGTAATACCAAACATCAGTACATGTATATATCAATTTTCATGCAATCTTTGCAGATGATATCAATCAACTAGTAAGTCAAACAGTAATACTGTAAGTCATTTTATATTTATGAGATTTTCGTGTTCTGTAAAATCACATATTATTGTGGGGTGAATTTTTTGAGGTTTGAAAAAAAATACTGGTTTGTAGAGATTTGATTTTGTGGTTGAAAAAATGTTGCCTCATGATATATATGAAATTCTTAATTTTGTAAAGGACTTGAATTTATGGATTTCTTCATACCATGAAAACAACAAAAATTAACCCTCACAAAAATGAGTAATTTTGCTGTACTTCTTTAACCATGAAATTGAATCCGTTTGAACCAATATTTTTTCCTTAAACCTCAAAATTTTGACCCCTCATTAATATGTGATTTTAAAGTAAGGTGGTGTGAAAATTCTGGTGACCTACAGTATAGACTTGAGGCCAATGGGCCACAGTGCTCACCTGAATCCTTTTTTACAGCCAATTTTAACTTGAATTGTCATTTTATAGGAAATCTACATAGTTTTGTCATTTCCAACTCAAGTGTTTCTTGAAAGAAAAGATTTTTAACTGACCTCACCTTATATTTATTATTTCTTAACAATGTTCTCTTGGAAAAAAGCAAGGCTTTTATTTGAAAAAAAAAAAATTGAATCCCACTCAATCCAAAGATGCTTTGTGTTATTAGAATGCTTGAAAAAGGGATTTTGTATTCTGGAAAAGAATTTTGAAAATGTAAAAAATTTTACACAACTGACAAAAGTGAAAATCAATCACTGATTGACCCAGGTGACATCATAAAATAGGCATTCCCTGTGGGACCAACCTTTACCATTAATGCCCTACAAACTTATCAACCATTGCTGCCCTACAAACTTATCAACCATTGCTGCTCTGCAAACTTACGTGTGGTTTTCATTAAAGTCCTCTATGTAATCTGTCTGTGTGTGTTCTGGATACATGAACAACACAGGCCAGTGAACAGTGCTGTCAGCATCAACGTAAACCATAGCTCCACTAGGATTGTGTAGCTCAACATTTGTGAAGAGAAGAGGGTCGTAGCCCTTCTCAGCTAGTCCAGCCAGCCTGATACCACGACTCTACAATTTCATAATCAAAACTCATAGATTTTCCCATCAAATCATTTAGGTAAACTTGTGAGTTGATACCTGATGTACTTTCTAGAATGAAAAAATTAAAATTATGCATTAAAGAAAAATTATTCCTAATTTTTATAATTGTATGCTTTTAATGTGGTTGCTAGAAGCTCTTGTCCATTTGTAAGGGTAACTACAAGTAACCTGACATATCAAAGAATGTGCAAACTCCTAATTGTTCACTTAATACACATCTGAGCATTCTTAACTCACCATTATTGCGTCTATAAGTTTCTTGTGCTCTACAAATTCTTTTCTTTCTTTTGCTTGTTCTTTTCTTTTTTCTTTTTCTTGTATGCTCTATATAGGAGAAAAATTTAGAGCTTTTACAATTAAAACTAAAAGTGTGTGAGCCAATGCTCACTAGTAATGCCCCCACTCTGATGTAAATATACGCTCTCATGTGAATATACTGAAGTTCAGTTCCGACGGAAATTTGGTACGGACAGACACATGGGTAAACAGGAAGTTGACATCAGATTCAAACAAAAATTAATCCCAACATATGGCATGTCTAAACAAAGAGTGTGCTAAAATTTCTAGCATCTGCCTTGAGTAGTTGCTGAGAAAACTGTGACAGAAATTTGATATGGACAGATGCAACCTATAAAGGAAGTTAACAGTGGATTTGAACAAAAATGAATCTCACAATATGGCATGCCTAAACAAAGAGTGCTAGAATTTCAAGCATCTGCTTTGAGTATTTGCTGAGAAAAATGCAGCGGATTTGGTACTGACAGACACATAAATAGGAAATTGACACTGAATTGGTACAAAAATGAATCTGACCGTAGGGCATGCCTTAACAAAGAGTGTGCTAAAATTTCAAGCATCTGCAATGAAAACTTGCTGAGAAAACTGTGACAGAAATTTTTTACAAACAGAAAGCAGACACACACACAGACAGACACACAAGGGTAAAACAGTATACCCCCTTCTCCTTCAGAGCAAGGGTATAAAAATATTACATGTATATATTTCACATTTTTTCAGTAAATTTTAGATTTTTTATATAAATGTTGAAAATACACAACCTTGAATTTTTCTGCTTTTTGTTTTATGTCCAAAAGAACTGTGTTTGTATCTTCTATCTATATTCAGTTAAAGATTTCTTAGTTTCTATTGAACAAATCTACATATGATGGACCAAAAATAATCTTAAGGGTGGGCCCTTTTTTTATTTCTATTTTTTGCTATCTACAAAGGATACAGCTAGTCCAAGATCACTCCATAAGCTAGCTTCTGTGTATTTCTTCATCTCCATACAACACTGAGCACCTACAAAATTCAGTGAAGACTACAGGAAATATGATTCTCCAAACCTTAAAGCTAAAATGAATAATGAAATTGAAATTATTAGAAATTTATTAATCCATGTTTTGAAATTTTCAACAATCCTCCAAAGAGATTTCATCTGTCTTTACTTCAATTGTCAGTCTACAATGATCTAATTTGGTATACCAATCCTGATGTATTTTCATTGTATTTAAATTTCAGTTTGTGTGATATAAAATGTATATCATGCAGTATGTATGTATATCTAAGTACAGTGTCATGAGCTCATAAACATGTGATTTAAATGCTAATTATCAGAACGCTGCCTCTCCAAATTCAAAAGACAAGTCAAGTAGACTATAACATTGGTATTTTTTATGTTTGATGGCAAACAATGCACATGCTTTAAAGCTTACTTATGTACCTATTAAAAATTTCAAAAATATGCTGTATATTGGCACTATGAACTATTTTGAAAAGTAGATCAAAGGTCAAGTTTAAGGTTGGTAACCATGGTATTTTACAAAAGCCATAGTGCCACACAATACATGTGCAAAATATCAAATCCATATCTCTAACAGTTCTCGAGATATAAGGTGTGACAGATGGACATGCAGACAGACAAACACCAGATAAAGTGATCCCTAAGCGACACTCTGCTCTGTAGGTGACAAAAAAAGTATCCCTGGTTGTATAAACAATCTCTACCTCTTACAATAGCTTTCATGTGGTCTGGTTTGAACTTCCGAGCAATGATTGCATCTTGAAGGGCTGATCTGTAATTTTCTACAAAAATGAAAGAACTCAGAAGTTCACTCCATCAGACTTCCCATGTATTGTAATTAATTGATAAATAATTATCTAACAAGAAGTCTTTGATGAGACTGTAGTAGACTTACGTTTGTGGAACTGGGCAGCTGCTCTGTTTGTATGCAAGACAGCATTCAAAGTTTTGTCAGGACACTTTATCTTGATGCCTTCTGTGTAGTTTTCCACAGCTATGTCATATTTCTTCTTCTTAAATTCAACATTCCCATCCTCTTTGAAAGCCTCAGCATTGCCTATTGTGTATTAATATAAAACCAAACATTACATAATATACTGTAGTACTCTACTCAAATTCATCTTTTCTCAACAAGTAAAGACCAAAGAGGCGTAGCACATAAATTTTTTTTATATCATTAGAAAAGAAAATTGATTGCTAATACAAGATAACTTGTCCTTAAATTGAATATTATTATTCTCCTTCTATGGTATATGAATATTAAGCAATATTTGTCTTTCCTTCACCGTGTCAATGTTTTGTCACAGTGGCAGTTTTCCCTTTTATTTTATGTTGATGATTAATAATATCTATCAGTAGTAAATGAATGTACTAGTGCTTGTTTAATACTTTAGGTAATGTTACAATAATTAATGATACTGTAATAATGCTAGACCAAGTAAAACATGTTGACAATGGAGTACTAACTGGTTGGGTCTTGTTGCTCGTACTTCAATCGCATTAGTCCTTCCATTTCTTTACTAAGAGGTTTTGAGTAGTCAATATCTTTGAGAAATGCTGGGTGGGTTTCAATTTCCTGAAATGAAAAATGACAATTTTTTTCAATTTTTACATACATGTACAACCTGCATATTATCATTCGTTGTTTTTTTTTTTCTTTTTTTTTTGTTTTCTTTACATTTGAACAAGACTGGACAAATATTGACATTTGCTACCATTTATTGTTGATAAATGATACCTTTGTAATTCAGTACCTGGGTATTATTTATTTGAACAGAAATGTACATAATCTCTTCTGCTTAAAACTTTGACTGAATTCAATATACCTGTAGAACTTCTTCAAAGCTTTTTTCCTCTTTTTTCTTGTTTTGACATTTGGCTGCTTCAGCTGCTATAAAATCCTCCAGTTCCTGGTTCAGCCTACGGATTTTTTCCTCCTTGGTTTCAGACATTTTTTTTTAAAAAAACCTTAATAAAAATTAAAAAAAAAAAAAAAAAAAGAATGCATTCATTATCATTGAAAAAAAAAATTTCTATTGATGACTTTTGGTGCAAAAGTTTTGAGTTTGCACCACAAAGCCATTGCTCATTTTTATTTAAAAATTTGAATTCAAAATCATGTTAATTTGTACTGGAACCACCAAGTCATCCTCTTATTTGAATTTTGTTATTGTTATTTCGCACATACATCATGTCAGGTGGGAACTCTTTATTCATCACTGCAAGTCACAGGTTTTTGTGCCCATTCTAAGTGGAAATAGAATGGACAAAAAAAAAAAAAACTCATGACATGCAATAATGATCTTTATTATGATTAAGAAGAATATTTTAACTCAAAAATATCACCCCATTTCATCTTGAAGAATTATGCTTTCACCTTAAACCTTCTTTTATCTCAATTCATTTTTTTTTTCAGACTTTCATTGGTAACCCCCCTTTCCAGTTCAATCAAAGTTCAATTTAAAAAAAGACTTTGATGTAATTTTCATCTCTTTACCTTATACATACTAAGCAGAAAACTGTGAACTGTATGTAAATTTTATACTGTCACAAAAAACCTATGTGTTGTCCCATAATCAGACAATTTGGAGGTTGATTTCAAATGCTCTGGAGACAAAAAAAAAGCTTCTTTTATGCCTTGCTTTCAGAACAACTATCACATCACTATCTATGGAACCGACAGGTTTCCTCTCTATTACACTACACCTTGAATGTAGTCTTATGGGTTTGCCCTGATAACATGTTCACTATGAGGGGTTTCATCTTTGTGTTGTTTCACTCCCATTAGCTATGTTGATCCCCTTCATACACTAGTCAATGTCAATTTGAATGGGATCTGTGGATCTAGGCAGTTTCAAAAAATTGCTAATAATGCTTGTGTATATGTGGACTATGGTGAAGGTTTTGGATGTGACATTCGAAGCAATCCAACACTATAATAGGCATTGATGTAATGATTTTACATTGAAAAGTGAATCTGATTTTGTTCAAAATTTGATAAATTATGGAGATCACTTACTGTGAATGGAGATAACTATATTATTTATGTCTCTGGATTTGATCACTTAAAATTATTGACAATGGACTCATTAGGAGTTACTCTCCTCAATGTATAAGGAATGCAAGTCATGCAAAATGATTAAAAAAAAATGTATCAATATTATTTAAGTATTTGAATCTAAATGGTTGAACTATTAATTTGTGAACAGTGGCCAATTGCCATTATTTAACTCTAGGGATAGGTTTTTATTAAAACTCCCCAAGGAAGTGTCCTAGGACCACTCCTGTTCCTTTTATTTGTTACTGATCTGCCAGAGTATGTGCCCAAGAAATAAACTGTCTGCTTATTTGCAGATGACTGTGACAAAATGAAGAAGATTCAATCAAGTTCCAAAAAGATCTTATGAGATGTGGAGATGGGAGAAAAAATGGATGATGGAATTCCATCCTGGGAAATGTCATGTTTTACGTTACCAAAATAAGGAAGGTGATTAAATGTACCTTGTGCAGTTGAGAAATCTACCTTATATGGCAATTTTTATGACACACAGTGGACCTTACCTTGAACAGTTGTCCAATCTGATAAATGAATAGCAGAGCTTGATGGTCTACTACATTACATTTTACTACAAACATGTGGTTCCTGTAAATCTACGAGGTAATATTTACTGAAATGCGGGAAAGACAATTGAAGCTCATTTTCATTTGCTTCTATAAAAAATACAAAGGTTAGATACTAATAAAGATGTCCCATGCTCACATTAAGAAACAAAATTGTAATACATTGAAATCCCACCAGAAAACCATCAAAATACTAGCACTTAAAACTTGAAATAGTCAACACATGATATGCTATAAGACCCTAGTCAGGCCCATCTTGGAATAATGGAAGTACCATCTGGGATCCCTACACCAAAGACAGTACTGACAAACTGGAGATGGTTCAAAGATGAGCTGCTTAAATGGTAACATCAGGCCATTTGACAACTAGCAGCACAACTAATAAGGTTAATCAGCTGAAATGGATCTCTCTCCAGACACAACATGGTCAAACAAAAGCTGCTATGGTCAAGCAAAAGCTGTTATGGTGTACCGCACTGTGCACCAGTTTACTGAATCCCTCCACTCCTCCTGGTTGCAGCCACTACAACCATGGGTAATGGTTTGATGTTCCTAGCTCCATATGCCAGAAGCTTAGGATACCAAAAATCCTTTTGTTCCAGATGGTATACGATGTGACAGTGTGGAATTCTCTATCAACATACAGTTGAATTTTGGTATCTCCAACACAGATATCTTGAATACCATGGATATGTCGAAGTCATTTTGAAGTCCCATTTGCTTGTTCCTTAAGTATTATACCCTGGATATCTCCAATCCTCAGTTATCTCGAAGTATTTTCTCGGTCTTTGGAGTTCAAGATAATGACGTTTAATTGTATTTGGTCACATCCACCACCATAGAAAGCTTCAAGGTGAATATCTAGCAACATCATCAACCACCCATTTATTTTTATACAAGCTGTAAATAGTCATTTAAACCCACCTTGTTTTCTTCACACCACCATGCATCAATACGATATATATCAGGTTTCCTGATCAGTACTTTATTGGAAGAAGATTGATTGATAAATTGTTTTTTAATACCGAGTCGGCAATATTTCAGTCATATTTCTGCGAAAGAAATTGGAAATAATTTGGGTATTGATCAACCACTTATTATTAAATTTACTGGTAATTTAAAGTGTTTGTTAATCTAAACATTGCCTGCACTGATCAACTGACTTTTCAACCACTGATACTTAACAGAAATCCATATAAACACTGTGCATATGGTTAAACCATGCAGGGCAAATCCTCTCAGGGTGAAAAGAGAAATGGGGAAAAAAACCACTCAGGGCTAACAGGGAATTGCAGGTTTGCAAAAAAGCACTCACCCACTCACAAATGCAAGTATTAATTTTTTCCTTATATAGGCAACTAACTCTTGAGGACATTTATATTGCCCACATGGTGAGTAAGAATTTTATTGAAACTTTTCCAGAACCCAACCATAGTCTATTTCTACTATGAAATGCACTTTCGTTTTCACTGTTCCATACTTACAAAAGATTTTCTAGAATTGTGTAAACATTTTGACCATCTGATGTCTCAAAGCGAAAGAAAACATGGAATTTCATATAAATGGTGTTGAAATCCACAGAAAAATAAAAGACAGTGGAAAGCAGAGCATGCTTCTCCGAGACTTTGATAGAAAAGATTGAGAAATTTTTTTGAAAGTGGAAAAAAAAATTGTGAGCCCCAAAATATCAATGTGGGCTACTGAAAAATTGTAAAGTTGGGGGCCCACATCAGGTCTAGGAAAATCACTATATTTAGCTATATAGCTAATCTACCTATATAGCTTTATTTACCTATATAATATAGCTTTATTTTGCTATTTCAGAGTAAATTTCTGTTTTATGAAAAGCAGACAAAAAGTCGCATAATGAGGCAGTATTAGTTTTCAACTTTGAAATGGACTGAATACAATTCACCAAAAACCCACTTTTAAAAATGTTTCTCCTTTTGTGCAATTGCAATCAAAGATCTAAAAGTTTTGGGGCTATGTATAACAGTTAATCTATGAATAAGCAGCTACTTTAACAAAGAAAAGCATTTTTGGTCAACAAGATATTATTGATTGGTAATAATTCAGCACAATGCAAGGCAATCACACTTAGTCATGCCTCATCGCACTTCCAGTAATGGACAGCTATCCAAACAATAGAGATGCATTTTTTGGTTAAAAAGTGTTTTAAAGAGGCAATGTTTTTACTATCTATGCCCTAGGTTGTTTTTATCAAACCTTTTAAAAAAAAATATCAGCCATAATTTTCATGCGACTTTTTTTTTGCTTTTCATAAAACAGAAACTTATTCTAAAATAGCTAAATAAAGCTATATTATATAGGTAAATAAAGCTATATAGGTAAATTAAACTATATAGCTAAATATAGTGATTTTCCTGGACCTGCACATGGCCCCTCAGGTTTTAAAAGTTATTTGTTACCCTGTAATGGGGCAAAACTGTTGGGACTTGTGTAGCGGAGAGAAAATCCTTGGGTTTCAATGATAACACATTTGTAAACTGCAACTTTAAAATAGCTAAATCAAGCTACTCTGAATAGATAATTCAAGCTCTGCAGCTTAATCTAGAGATTTTGTCGGACATGATTATTTTTTTTAAGTAGGATGAAATTATTTTTATATAAGCAATAAAGATGAAAATGCCTTGCTCACCTTTCAAAAATCAATAAATATACAAGGGTACTGATTAAGTGAATTCCAATAGATGTGTAAAATGTGTTGAGTATTAGCTGTTTTGGTCAATCACGTTGTTAATTCCTCAAATCGGAAACCATCAATGGAAGATAAAAAGACATTCACAAAGGAATTTTTTTATTTCCGGTATAAAATTGTGTTTACATTCTTAGAATATAGAATTTTTCTTACCATTATAATAAAATGAATGATTAAAATCGTAAAAAAATAAAAAGGAAACGCAGTTACAGTATAGTTGTTGACAATGAAACGCGCCCATGTAATATAGACATATCCGGAAACCTGCCCTCTCCTCATGCAAATTTTATACTGTATGGCACATGGCGCGAAATGAAATGCGATACTCATAGTCATACCTCTGGATACAGTAAAAAGTCTGGAGATCAGTTTTGAGGTACACAGTTGTTTTCCTGACAATTTTAAAAAATTCTTTATAGATCTACTGATGTAATAATTTACTATTGGAATATTATTTTGCAGAGCACGCAGTTTTTAGTGTTTACATTGAGATTGGAGGAGGCGTACATCAGATATGGATGCTTTTGTTATCAGAGACTATGGCAGCAGCATGAAAATCTGGAATTGGTCTTAACATATCTCTTTACAGCAATGCAACAGAACCAGAGACATATAAATATCTCTGACAGAACTGAAGAAAACTATAAAAGGTATAATTTTGATAATTTTGTTTAGGATGATGATACTCATGTTATCATATGCACTTGGCATAACTGTGATGTCATAATAGTGTAGACGTCATAATGATTGTTGTTGCCATACCAAGAAATTAGTTTCAAGCAGGTTGTTATCCAGAAAATTTAAGGTGACTGTGTTTTGAATTCATTGAGCTTAAGTTACAGTTAGTATCAGGTATTTTTGCCGAGTGTATTTGTAGAAAGCATTGATTTTTTGTGTAATTTGCAATATTTTCATGGTGAAATCCATGATCAGATTACGCATTTTGAGTGATATATGGATATTTATTTCAAAAAGTACAAGGTAAGTTGTTTATTAAATTAAGAAAGGGATGTGTATTCAGAGTTTGAAAAACTTGTATGTTGTTCAAAATTTGTCTTTAAAAATTCCTTGTTCAAATTTGTCTTGAAAAATTCCTCGTGTCTAGCATATAAAATCTAATATATTAAATGTTTTTGAATGCAATGAAATTGTTTTTCTATCTGTTCAAACCTGAAAAGGTTTTTTAAATATTGCTGGAGAATTCCAACATAGAAATGTTGGATAAAATATTACATGGCTTACTTTGGAGCAAAATCATTTGACTTGGACTGATGGGAATAGTTTTTTTTTTTAAATATTGAATCCATACTACTTAAAATACTTAATATCTGCCATATTCAAAAATGCCATGTTTTGTGTTTAACAAATGGGGGGAAAGAACTATGAAAGTTGCATATACCAAAAAGACAGAAATGTTCCATTCAGACCAACTCTATATAGATTCCTGATTTCTTTATTTGAAAGTGTGGTTCACATGCAAGCTTATTAAAGAGTAAAGTGCTTCAACTTGAATTCTAAATAGGTATTTTTATTTCACATTCATGGGTAACCCCCCCCCCCCCCCCCCAAAAAAAAAAGAAGCATAATTGAAGATGACATTTTAGGTGATATGTTCAGTGTTATAGCCCTAGTTCATATAAATTTTTCTGGCTGTTGTAATACTAATATCAAAAGTAGTAGAGATGGGTATCGGCAAATTTTGTATCGTGATATATCACGATATTTTCACACGCAATTTTTACTACAATTTCAAATGAATTTCCATAATATTTCTTAAATATATGCCATAGAAACATAACTTTACCATTTATATTTTTATTTATTTAATATAAAGCATGTTTGTATGCCGTTGTTTAACTGTTAACAGTTTTCAACATTTTTTTGCCTTTCCTGTAATTGTCATTCAATAACTTGAACAAATAAATAAATAATTACCTCAATTTATAGTTATGTACCAAATACGGGTATTTTAGTCTCCGTATCACGATATGTATCACGCAATAAAAAATCGCGATATACCGGTATACGGATAAAATCGTGCATCCCTAAAAAGTAATTTATAGTTTTGTATCCATATGTGTATACTATCTCTGAGTGTACTCTATTGATGAAAATCATGTTTAAAATAGATTCAAATGTTATTCAGTGCCCAAAGTTGCGACTAAAACTAGTTCATATAAATTTTTCTGGCTGCATGTTGTAATATTAATATCAAAAGTAGTATATAGTTTTGTATCCATGGTATGTACTCTATTGATGAAAATCATGTTTTAAAAAATAGATTCTTATGTTAACTTATTCAGTGCTCAAAGTTGCAACGTACTGAAATGGTCAAATTTGCAACCAGAAAATTGATTTTGCAGTTAGAAGTTAAAGCATTTTTATGACTGAGAAATAGTTCATCTTTATGATCCTACTTTTTAGTTTTTTCTCTATTGAGAAAATATTTGAATAGACATAATCTTAAATAATTTTAATAAAGTGTTGTTAGGATCTAGATTACATAATGTTATGACAGCATGGGTTATTGCTAATGTAGTTTGATTGTAGTGTTGTAGAACAAAGGCATCATGACTTCATGTCTTAAACTTATTTGAAAGTGACACTCTTTGTGAAGCATTTGGTCAAGTAGTGGAGTCCTGCCTCAATAGGGATCCACCTTGTATCAACTATCAATTCATCTCCTTGCATTTCATGTGTATGCTGTATATTTAAAGAAATTGCCATAAAGAGTAAAAATACATGTACAATCAAACCTCATTACCTTGAACTCAATGGGACCGAGAAAAACTTCAAGATATCCGAGGATTCGAGATATTGAGGGTAAAATAAGTAGATGGGACTCCCAAATCACTTCAACATATCCATGGTATTCGAGATATCAGTGTTCAAGATACCGAAGTTCTGTATTTGTTGATGGCAATCAGAAATTTTTAAATGGCACCAAAAATAATATAAGGTTGCAATTTAGCAACCTGATTGTAAGTGTAACTTGGAGCACTGGATACAGGCCAGTAGGAAGCAATTTCAGTTTGAGGGGGCACAGCCATACATTTTCAGTTGAGGGGGCACCATCAACCAAAAATTCCTTGACAAGCAAAAAAAAAAAAAAAAACAAAAAAGGTCATCAGACGTTCTTATTGAGGGGGCACAATCATATAGTAGCTATGTTTTCCATAGTAACCTATATATCGGCAAAATTATTGGGGGGGTATGCCCCCCCCCCCCCCCCCCCCCCCCCGGTTCCTACAGCCATGGGATATTGCATAAATGTTGGCAGCTCATATGCATAATCTTGATTATCTTAGTTCACTGCTGAATTTTCTGGATTGAGATGTTCATATTTCTTCTGACATTATACCCTGTCTATTCCAGTGTTGTTTTCATGCTGTGTATAGTTGTGTAAATTCATCATATCAACAGTGGGGAGCTAATTAATGCATGAGAGATAACCCTTGCAGTCCTGTTCAACTTTGTTTCTTAAGAACTCTTTATCTATTCTTCTTCTAATATGCCATTTCTGGACATGATATTGCCCTGCTGTCAAGAATTTTTATGTACCTAACATTTATTTTAAATATATGTACAAGACACAAGCTTTAAGCTTCATCATTGTAATTAATAAATATTATATTCCAGATAGCAGTTTTCTTGGTTTATGTTAAATTCTAAGAATAAGCAACAAGCTCTAGCAATATCTTAATTATTCATTTTTAGGAATTGTCTAGCTACCTGTAGAAATCGGTGTTTACACTTTGCCATTGAAAAGCAGTGTTTATGTAAACAGCGCCCTCTATTGAGTTCTGTTAAGTATCAAGGAAAATGAACTAGGTTAACAAAAGTGAATGACCAACACATTCAATTTATTTAACATTTGATTAATTGACACTGAAAAACTAATGAAATTTTACAAGAACTTTTGATATATGATAATTATTTTAAGTCATGGAAAAAAGGCATTTTTTTTTGAAAATTACTTTAAAAACTTGGCATTTTATGTGAAAGAATGCAAATACATATAAATAAGAGTTACGACAAGTTTACAGGATATTTAAACCTTCCTGCACCTGAAGTCCTTATCGCTTCTCGGCCTTTTGGCTAAGATCAAAGTGTAGTATCTGTTCTTATCAGCTTAATATCTGATACGTTCCCTACATGGGAACTACGATATTAAACTGATTTTTGGCATGAGGTGAGATGTCAGGGGCTTGCTCCGCTCTCGCCACGGGTTGGCCTGGTATTGCAGTACCTCCAGGATCGGCCCACTCCCCTTGGGGAGAAAAAATCAAATAAAAGAAGAAAAACTGACCCTGCCCCCTTGCAAATAATTCAGTTACCTTTTTCAACATTTGTTACATGGAGCAATCGTTCAAGCAGTTGATGGCTATTTTTCTTTTTGATGCATTTTTCCGAGTTACTGAGAGATCTTAAATGTATGAGGGAAGAAAAAAACAAGTAATTATTGAGTTATTCTCCAATACAGCATTTTCCCTTTATGTCAAAGTAAAGGGTTGAAGATCAATTGTAACATGCTTGGGGTTGAGGTTTATGAACAATCTCTGTGTCTATTGTCTTGCAACAATTATTTTTATGCCCCCGGATCGAAAGATCCCGGGGGTATATTGTTTTTGTCCTGTCTGTCTGTTTGTCTGTTTATCTGTTTGTCTGTTTATCTGTTTGTCTGTTTGTCTGTCTGTCTGTTGTCAACTTTAACCTTGCCCATAACTTTTGATTGGTTGGAGCTATGACTTTCATATTTCACATGTGTATTCCTTGTGACAAGACTGTTTGTCTGTTTATCTGTTTGTCTCTTTATCTGTTTGTCTGTTTGTCTGTCTGTCTGTTGTCAACTTTAACCTTGCCCATAACTTTTGATTGGTTGGAGCTATGACTTTCATATTTCACATGTGTATTCCTTGTGACAAGACCTTTCTTTGGGTACCATCATATTTGACCTTTTGACCTTGACCTTGGAGTTTGACCCACTTTTGCAAAATTTTATGAGACTTTAACCTTGGCCATAACTTCTGAACAGTTGGTGCTTGGGGTTTCAAACTTCACATGTGTATTCTTTGTGACAAGGCCTTCCTTCGGATACCAACAATTTTGACCTTTTGACCTTGACCTTGGAGTTTGACCTACTTTTGAAAAACTTTAACCTTGGCCATAACTTTTGAACAATTGGTGCTTGGGGTTTCAAACTTCACGTGTGTATTCCTTGTGACAAGACCTTCATCTGGATATCAACCTTTTTGACCCTTTGACCTTGACCTAGGAGTTTGAACTACTTTTGAAAAACTTTAACCTTGGCCATAACTTTTGAACAATTGGTGCTTGGGGTTTCAAACTTCACGTGTGTATTCCTTGTGACAAGACCTTCATCTGGATATCAACCTTTTTGACCCTTTGACCTTGACCTAGGAGTTTGAACTACTTTTGAAAAACTTTAACCTTGGCCATAACTTTTGAACGGTTAGAGCTAGAGCTTTCATACTTCACTTATGTATTCCTTGTGACAAGACCTTCCTTTGAATACCAACAACTTTGACCTTTTGACCTTGACCTAGGAGTTTAACCTACTTTTTAAAAACTTTAACCTTGGCCATAACTTTTGAATGGTTGATGCTAGGGCTTTCATACTTCACATATGTAATCCTTGTGACAAGACCTTCCTTTAGATATCAACCACTTTGACCCTTTGACCTTCACATAGGAGTTTGACATACTTTCGAAAAACTTTAACCTTGGCCATAACTTTTGAACAGTTGCAGCTAGGGCTATCAAATTTAACATTTTTTTATCTTTTGGCCTGGATTTTGACTTGCATTTGAGAAACTTTAACCTTTGCCATAAGCTGCCATACGGGGGCATCAGTGTTTCACAAACACATCTTGTTTAAATTTTTTATTTCAACTGAAGTGGTCAACTTGGCCGGTAGCCGGGTCTTAGGGAAAACTCTGAAATACGGTTCAGGTTTCAATGTACAAGTTAAAGGGAAGAAATGTAATTGAAACTTGATTGAATTAATATCTCCCATCCTTTTACTATTGAACATTTAGCCACCTGTACAGTGTAACTATTATACTTTTGTGGAGATTGTTTTACAAGAAAAATACATTTGGTATCCTAACTTCAAGAATGCAGGGACTGATCCTCATACTAGATACTTAAGAACCTGTTTTATTTTTGTTTTGACAGTGTTCCTCTGACTGCTGATGTTCAAGAGAGAGGAGAAAACAGAGAATTTCAACAGGTGTTTGTTATCCAACATTGTTTTGTATCCAGGTAATCATAGCACAATGCTTAAAGCCTTAATTTAGTCCATCTTCACTAGCCAAGGGTTTCTGATTCGTTACTCTCCTCATAAAACCTTGACTATGGTGCTGACAAAAGAAGGGATTGTTTTCGTCACGTGATCACGATTCTTACCAGGTACACACAGATTGCATCATCAACAGAAATATAAAGCGTATTTAAAAAAATTAATGTTTTTAAAGAATAATTAACAAGAAGGTATTGAGTTATGTTAATTTGTTATTTAAACATGTTAAATGCAAATCTACATCTTCAGTATAGATTTTTAGTCACATATTTTGCACGTAGCTTAAGATATAGGATGACACAATAGCTATTCATAGAATGGGATGTTATCTTATGGATCGTTGTTTACTTGCGTTTTTCATTACCAAGATTAAAGAGTTGAGATATCATCATTTACAAAAAACAATTGCTGATTGGTCGAATGATGTCAATCAACTCCAATCTCAAGTTGAGAAAAAAAACCCAACTTTTTTTAACACCGTAGGCCAAGGGCTTATGAGGAGAGTAGCGTATCAGAAACCCTTGGCTAGCGAAGATGAATATAGTTTAACTTGGAAGAAATCATTTGAGCTTCATAGCTTTTTTTTTGTAATAAATTGCACATGATTTATTGTAGGTAGACACCCATCACAGTTTTCATTTGTCTAGTAGACAGAAATATGAAATAGATTCTAGTAAACAGAAATATGAATCTAATTTCTTTCAAAACAGTGACTAAATGTTCATTTGTAAATGTGGGTTCAAATTATAATATAGTGCTAATGAAAGCAGAGTTTAATTATGGGGAAATAAGTGAAATCCAGCACTTTGATTCAAATGTAAGTAAGTTATTTTACGGTTTTACCAATATACTCATATTCATGATTAAATCAGTGGTACAATTTTGTTCATTGTATATGATAATTCACTCTGTTTTAGAGTTCTGTGAGTATGGAGAATGATTCCTGTTACCATGTGGTGTTGGCTATTGTCTCTTTCAATGGAGCAACATAGACAATATTTATACATCCTGATCTCAATGGTACAGTCAAACCTAGTTATCTCGTACTCGACGGGGCCAAGAAAAAACTTCGAGATATCCAATGATTCAAGATATCCAGGGTAAAATTCTTAAAGAATAAGTAATTGGGACTTAAATATCACTTCGAAATAACCATGCTATTCAAGATACCAAAGTTCAACTGTAATTACTTTGGAATGCATTCTGGTCATTTTCATAGTTCAAAAAAATTGGCAGTGTGAAGTGAATTTTTAAGTTTTAGATTTTATAATTTTAGAAATACAAACAACAAAATTAACTTGATAATGAAATTGTACTGAACTTATTCTGCCTCCTACACCAAACAATCTACAGATGAAATTAAGAGTAATTGTTAACTTATTTTACCTTCAGATCTGGAATTGCATGTAGCCTGACAGAAAAAGTTGATGGCTGTTTCCATTTACAGAAGACATGACACAAAGACTAAGGTCTGATGTCTACATTTAGTTATTCTTGGGTTACTTTAGTGGACCCTTTCTTGTAGTTAGTATTGAACAATAATGTTGTTTAAAGTCTTTGAAATACAGAAATTTGACTGAGCTATACAAATTGTATATCATAAAACCATTATATACATAATGTCTCTTTTTAAATTTTTGTTTCGACTGTTTCACTACCCTAGTTCTTTAATTATGAATCAATAATCTTCTAATATAGAGAAAAAAAAAACTTCATTTTTGAAACACTTACTGAAATGTAAAAACTGGTTACAAAATGTAAAAACAGTGGTTACATGATTTTATTGCCTCATTCCCTTCAGTCATTAATTAACATAGATTTACTCGTGCACTAATTACATTTTTACAACTCAATAAATGTCAGAAAATGATATTTTATGTATATTAATGACTGATACATACACAATAGTAATTTTGAAAGTCTGAAATCTCTTTCGTTTTCAAATATCATTGGTAACTATGTACCAGTGATTGTAGCCATTAAAGTGAAATCCTGTATTTGATTATAATGTTGGTAAAATTTTGTTGACCACCATTGACTTTGCAATGTTATATGACAAAATGCATGTTAATTTTATTTGTAGTGATATATGTTCAAGGGAAAATGTATGCAAATGTAAATATTTTTTTTGATAAAACAAATTTATCAATTTTTATTCAGATGAAATAACAAATTTAGTTATCTCAAAGAACACTCCCAATCAAAACTGAATTATTTTACTGTGTTTGTTGTTGATGTCTGACCTACAGAAATCAGTGTTTACATTTGCATATTTGGTTTTTAATGACAAACTGTAGAATCTTAATATTATGTTTATATATCTTTTACAATGGGCTATATTTTTACTCATTACAAGAAGCCTACACACATTTTCAGACTTCAATTTTTAAGCATGTATTTTGTAAATCATTCTTTCTCTCTCTCTCATGATAATTGGAACAAACACAAAGTGTTAGGCTTGCATAGACATTTATTTTAACTTTAAAAAGATAAATTTTAGAATAGAGATATGTATTTAACACTTGGAAGATATTTCTACTATAAACATTTCATCTCTTTCTGTAATGGTAACTAATAAGTATATCCAGATATTTCCCAAGGACACAAGGATTTATCTCAGGTTAGAGACACAACATGATATCTTCATTTCCATGAACTTTTGTTTTAGAACAGGAAAACTGTCAGTCCCAGTTCTGAACAACTATCTGTATATGAAATACAAAAGTACCCTAAAATGCAAAATAAACAGATTGTAGTTCTTTCTTGTCATCTTGATCATGACGTTTACTTAGTTCTAGTTCTAGTTCACTTTATATTACTATAAGGTACAAAATGTTAGGTCAAAAATTGCTCTAACATGCAATAAATTAATAAACAATACCAAACATTATGTTTTACTATCTGACAAAAATATGCAAAATCATTTATTTTAGATTTATAGTAATCTTGAGGGAAATCAGACTAAATTTTTCAATCTCACACAATTTTTTTCTGCAAACAATGCATCATAAAAATTCAGTTTCTGTGTTTTAATTCAAGTCAGTTTAATGATCAATATAGCTTCATCTATTTCTAAGGTAAGTGAAATTTTACAACTAGGATTTGCATGTAAACTGATTAATCAGCATCAAAATTTGTTTAATGTTTTCATTAAACAGCATGTTTTGATGGTGATTAATCTGGAATGTTGTAGATTGAGAAATGCAGTTTTTTTTTTTTAAATCTCAAACCACTGCATTTTCTTGGCATTTGATACAGATTCAGATGTCAGTAGTCAAGTATTTACATTAATTTTGTCCTTGAAAAGCATGGCATTTTAAAGAAATCAGTAATAATACAGAAGTATTGCAAGTAGAAATATTGTAAGGAAGACAATTTCAGTTCTTAGGTTATCATTCCAAACAAGTTCTTTCCCCTGTTCAGGAAGTTTTCTTGTCACCAAGTGACATACCTTCTAACTGCTCTGATTTATGGAAAGATGGCATTTCACTAGACACATTGATAATTTGTGAAGATAATTTAAATTATCCACAGCTGTTACTTTGGGGTCTTAAGGGATAAGTTTCTCTCAGGTTTTGAAGGGGTTTGGACACAGAATTGAAGTTAATATTTTCTGTAATTTTTAGTATAATATCATTACTCGTGTTGCTAGAGCATTTCATGCTGAAATATTATAAAAGCCTTTTTAGGAATTTCTTTTATCTGGAGATTACTAAAACTAGAATACAGGAACTTGTTTGATTGACACATATCCTGGCACTTTCACAAGGTAAACTTTATCCTTAATACTAAAGAAATGTTAACATGTCATAGTGTTAATTGTAGGAACTTTTCATCATTTCTTTTAAATATATAGCAATATATAATTTATAAAAAAAAAAAAAAAAAAGATTCTAAGAGGTGTCTTCCCCCTTTTCATTGTAACTTGCGTCACATTATAACGGTACATATATTTTGCTCATAAGGAGCATTGACAAGCGTTCATACATAACTGGATATGCTTATACAGAGTGAATTTAAAAGTGGTCGTTGCAAGAATGATGAAAATGAAATTTGTACAATTTAATTTAACCTCAGTTTATACACTTAATTATTAAAACAAAATTAAATCTGAATAGAAAAATACACGCACTTCTGTCGTAGCACAGAACAACACAGGATCACTATATAGCCCTCTGGAATTTTTCACTGGGACACATGGTCACTGTCTTGCAAAACACTCATGTTATGCTAGTGTGGTGCTTAAATGTTGATCGAATGTTATCACAAGGCAGTCCAGCACAAGGTCTTCTGTTTTCTCTTTCATTTGAAGCCAGTTATAAATAACTTTCATAGTCTTATATCTTCAGTGTTAGTGCTGTTTGGGGGTCTTCATGTTCTTCCTCCCTCTCCTCTTCATTCTCTGCTGCTTGACTTCAGTGTTCTTGATGATGGCTACCACAATGGCAACATCAGTCATGGTTTCTGAAGTCAAGTGGAAATGTCTTTGTTGACAGTGGAATGGGTTGTCAATTTCACACTTGCTGACAAGTTAAGTGGATTTGTTGTTGGATAAGTTGCCAAGAAATGACATTGTCTGAATTCCTTATGAACTTGTCCGAGTCTGAACATATATTAAAGAAATTTACAGAGCTTTATTTTCAAGAATGAGGAAGTTAGAAATAACATCAACTTATAAAGATTTGTTTTATCATGATAATATCCATCATCTATTCAGTAGAACTGTCTAAAGCTTAGTCTTGATCGCCTTTGTACTTTCACAATATCTGGTGAAATGAGACTGAGCCCTTAACTCTTTCAACACTGAGTAACTTTTATCAACTAACCCCTGGTACACTGAGTAACTTAGGCCATCAGTAGCAAAAATGGTCACCATTATAAAAATCATCATAACATCTTTATTTCTTTGACAATTTTATTAAGTGATACATCATTGTAAAGATCAGACAGACATTCTGCTTTTCAGAATATGCAGTTATAATCAACATTTATTATACCCCCACTCCGAAGGAGAGGGGGGTATACTGTTTTACCCTTGTGTGTCTGTCTGTCTGTCCATAACAAATTTTTCGTCACAGTTTTCTCAGCAACTACTCTTCGCAGGTGCTTGAAATTTTAACACACTCTTTGTTTAGGCATGCCATATGGTGGAATTTATTTTTGTACAAATCTGTGGTCAACTTCCTGTTTATCTGCGCATCTGTCCGTACCATACATAACAAATTTTCGTCACAGTTTTCTCAGCAACTACTCATCGCAGATGCTTGAAATTTTATCACACTCTTTGTTAAGGCATGCCATATGGTGGGATTCATTTTTGTATGAATCCGATGTCAACTTCCTGTTTATCTGTGCATCTGTCCGTACCATACATAGCAAATTTTCATCACGGTTTTCTAAGCAACTACTCATCGCAGATGCTTGAAATTAACAAACTCTTTGTTTAGGCATGCCATATGGTGCAATTTATTTTTGTATAAATCCGATGTCAACTTCCTGTTTATCCATGCTTAGAGTGTATATTCACATCAGAGCGGGGGTATTACTAGTGAGCATTGGCTCACAGACTTTTTATGTACAATAATATAAAAGAATAATTTAAAAAAAAATTAAAACTTCAAAAATTTTGACAAACTTTTAAAAATTTGCTGCTATAAAGTTTCAAATTGATTAGATTTCTTACCATAATTTTAAAGAATATTTCCTGAATAGAATGATATGTAACATAATATAGTTATATCAACACATATTATCAAAAATCCAGATTAAATCACGTGTTTTTTTTCACAAATCAGTCCTGTTTCTCCAATCACAGCTTTACAGAAAGTGTTCAATACTGGACTTCAAACTGTCAAAAGTCTCATTTTTTTCCCTTTTCAGCATGGTTATTGCCAAAAGTAAAGTTTGGTATGATAGTCTTTGAGCCATGTGTTCCTCAAATTGCAACACAGTGGGACATTACACTTTTCGTATTTCATTGTCGTTTTAGTTCTCTTGTTTGGGTTTTCTGGAAGTGTGCATCCAGGGTGGCTGTTTCTATAAGCAGTATGCTTTTTATTGCATACAACACACACAGTGTTGGTACTTCCTGTTGGTCCAGGCCAGTGAGATTTCTCATCAAGTCACATTTCTGGTTCCACATCAACAGTTCTTGGGCGCTTGAATCCCCTCCTCTCCTGTCGATAGGCTCCAATCAACTGATGGGCGACGTCAAGATAGTAACTGAGTAGATCCCTCTTACACTTGTTCTGTGGATTGTGTTCAATTACCGATCCCTCAAGAATGTATGAGTTGTATAACGCAATTTCTCGCAGCCTTATTTCGATCTTCCTGTACCATCTCAGGGATTTTTTAGATTTATTCATCCGCGACATTTGGTCAAGTCGATCAACTCCACCCATGTAGGATGCATAGCTTTTTACAGCTGGAGTGACAGGAACCTGGGTCTCGGTCCCATCCTTGTTCCTCCTTGTTGTTGCAAGGTTATCATCCTCTGGCCGATGGTAAGACGATAAGTAATAAACAATGTGATTGTCCTTCCAGAACTGGGCTAATAGTGGGCCACACATTAGCCAATCTGAAGTTCCTCTCTGCATTCTTCTGGCATCCCTAGCTGTTGGTACAAGTTCCTTCCAATAACCTTTTCTATTTGGTCTGACGGTTCCACAGATGTACATATTTCTCGTGTATAAATAATTGGCTAGGGTTGGACTTG